AAATATCACCCTCTAAAAATGTGTAATACTTAAATAAGCTTTAATTATTTTGTAAAAATTAAACTTACTTTAATAAATTTGTTACAGTGAAACAACCTTTGAAGATTTTGTTATTAAATAGTATTTATAATGTTGTTATATTAAATAGGTGCATTTCATATTAATAAAATGGAGGTTCTCTGATCATTATTTTTATGAATATATTTACTATCTTTAAAAAATATCATGTTAGTGGTCTGTGGGTTTTAAAATTATGAATTTAGTGGTCTGTGAGGTTCGAAAGGTTGGCCACTACAGGTCTATATTATTGTCTTCATTTTGTTCATGAGGAAACTCATTCTCAGAAAGACTACATGACTTGCCCAAGATCTGGTAAGTTGAGTTAGCGCTTGGGGGAACCAGGACTCATACCCGGTCCTGATGACTTCATAGACAGTCTTGTCAGTAGCATGAGGTCCAGGAAAGTGCTTGTCTTCTTGTGCGGAGTGACAGGTCGGGATGGCTGGAGTGCAGTGTGCACTGGCAGAAACAAGATTAAAAATGGAGAATGGGGCCAGTTTATGAAGGGAGTCTGCAGCCTGCATAAAGTGTGCTCTCCGAGTATGGCAACACCAGCAAGGGTTTGTAAGCAGACACGAGAGCTCAGATTTATCTTTTAGAAAGAGAACTATGGCCACCTAGATTGGGCTTGAAGAAGTTGGGTAAAACTAGAGGTAAATTTATCCTCTCTACACCTAGATGTACAAAGAAAGTATTTTGCTAAATTTTACCTGACTTTTTTCTTAAGACCTCCTCCCCAATTTGTAAGTGGAGAAAGAAAAAAACCAAAACCTGCATTTAGCTGAGAGTAGTAAACTCAGTCTGCTTCCGTAATGTAAAAGGTCTCTTTTGGTAATTCTTTTTTCCTCTGCACCTCATTAAGATGGTGCCTCAGTAAGCGGGACATACATGTCATTGAGTGTGTGTGTGTGTATGTGTGTGTGTTTATCAGAGTTTGGGGGCTCCCCACTGGTGCCCACTGGGGTCTTGCATTTTCCTAAAGTATAGCTGGCATCTATTGCTAAAGTGTAGGTCACCTGTAACATCTGGTCCATAGTCTGGTAGGCCACTCAGGGCCTGGTTGTCCATTTTGCTTACATGGTCCCACTGTGGCTCTTGCTGGGGCTGCATAGCACCTCCACGAGGTCTGATAGTGCCCTTCCCCCACAGTCCTCAATAGTACACGTGGAATATCCACACTAGAACCTAGGGAGGCTCTGGATCAGCGGTCGCCAACCTTTCAGACCTCGTGGATCAACAGTTGGCGACCGCTGCTCTGAATAGCTAAACTCAAAACTTAGGCCCTGTCTTTTGCTACCTGTTGTGACACCAGTTTTACTGACTTACATGACATGGTCACCACCCCATGTTGTTATGAGGAGGGGGTGAGGAAAGAGGACAGTCTGTGAGATGACATTCTGTAGATCCCCAAGGGCAAGTGATAGGAAACTCCTTGGCTTTGGGCTTTGTCATCAACCCTTTAATCTCCTCACCCTTTTATGGCATTTCAGCCCCCACTGGATATACCATATGGTCTCTGCCCCCTTTTGCTTTCTGTATTTACCTGGCCTCTTCTCTGCATGCTTCTCCTATATTCCCGACTCACCTGGACTTCTCTGGTCATCCCGTCCCTCTTCTGGAGAGACCATTAACCTTCCACTTTGGGCTGTAATGGCAGCCAGGATACAAGGAGGGTGAGACACCAGCTATAAGATATCGTATTTCAACGCTGTCATATCTGTCATCTGGGATACAACTGTTGTGGTAGTCTAGGAGAGGGACAATAAAGCCAACAGAACAGGTTCTGAGGAAGGAGCTTTGGTGAAACCAAATGTGGGGCTGACGAGAGGGAGAAGTTGAGGGTGACTTTCATGTTCTTAGATAGGACAGCTGTTAGATAAAGGTGTTCTTGACAGAGACATCACTATCATTTTAGATGCTGAATTTATAGATATAATCAAGGTCATCACTCTCTTTTAATTCTTTCATGATGACTCAGGGCTTTGGAACTTGTAGCTCCTGCAGTGGCAAGGTCAGAGGACACAGAGTGGACCTTTAATGACCCAGGACATGTAAATCCTTGGTGTACAGAGTTCATGTCAGAGTGTGGCCAGAAGATACAGAGAAGATGTTGATGAGTGGCTAAAAATAAATAATTTTTAGATACATGCAGAGGCAGTGTTAGTTTTTGTGATTGAGCTGAATTTTTCAAATTGAAATCCTGGAAACATAACTTGTATTTCTCAAAAATTCCCCCTCATTGTTATGCCTGAGACATGGCTTAACCTTTCATGTACTCTGCTAACATAATTGCCTTGCTGTCTTATAAAGGTGGCTTTTAATTGTGCTCCCAAGCAGCAGCTGCTGTTGAGTTGCTGGTTGCGGTCTTTCCATAGATTGGGCTGGTTCATTAATTGTTTCTTCTCCTTGGACTGGGCATCTGGGCTTGGATAGTAGCCAGCAGCTACTGAAATGCCATCACTGATAGGATTGCCCTTTATGCCACTGATTGGTTATTGTATTGCATTTCCACTCCCCCCCCCCCCAAATTTAAATGAACCTTTATTAATACAGCGTTAAACTCAATTCTTCCCATTCTCAGTGACCCTATCATTAGGTTATTCCCCCCTTAATTCATAGCACTTGGTCCTCCGGCTGCACAAGAGGTTTAAGAACCAAAGACAGCTTGTCATTCATGGGGCTCAGGCCTGCCATAGGGCAGTGCCATGGTTTATCACAGGCATGGCCCAGTCCTCCACTGGCTGCTGATTTATGCCCAGGTAACCTGAAAAGTCTCTTTGCCATTTATTGTTCTTTGTTGGTGATTTGATAGGGTGGCTTTGTGTGCTTGGTGTCTTATATAGTCCGGTGGGCCGGCTTCCCAGTTACCTGAGGTAGACACTCTTGGTGCTCCCCTTTGTGTACTGTGTGTACAGCCTTGTTGTAATTAAGTCTTGATTGTTGTTGGTATTACTGGGAGGAATTGACCTCCAGGCCTATTGGATGTGAGTATCAGCTGTGTCTATACCAGGATACCTTCTATATTGGAGACAGTCTTATAGGATCAGACTTGCAAAATTGCAATAGCCTCTGAGCTCAGCTTGGATGGGGCAGAGTCTCAGGGCTGAGCCACCCATCTTGGCTTCCCGTCAGTCCTGCCCTTGTGTGCGTGCCTCAGACCTCTGCCTTCCACGGATCCCCTGAGTTTCCGCTTGACAGACCAGATTCCCCTTGTAAGAGCGTGAGTGCCCCAGGGACTCACCCTGAACTGGGTTTCAGTGCTCAGTGCAGTTGGGACTGGGGATTCAGTGCAGTTAGGAGCTTCGGACTTCTTTCGCTACGGAGAGGCAGAGCAACCTCTGTGGTCAGACCTCTCTGTGTACACTCACTCGCGCCGACTCTAGACCCTGCCTGCTGCGGCTTCCAGCTCCCCTGAGTCTCCCAGTCTCGGAGTCACCAGGTGCCTTTCTCTACAGTCCAGACTCCAATTGTATGAGCCTGGGTCCACGGGGTTTCGGCTGTGGCTGGGGTTCAGTGCAGTTGGAACTGGGGTTCAGTGCAGTTGGAACTGGGGTTCAGTGCACTCAGGGGCTTCCTTTCCCCTCCCGCCAGCCCAGCACTCGGCAGCCCTTCCTCTCTGAACTAGCATCTCCCTACCTCAGTGCTTTGCAGCTCCCGATCCGATCTGTGAGACTCTCTCCTTCTTTCTAGTTGTAGATTTCCTGCTCAGCCAGCTTTCCTGTGGTTTTGGGTGATGTCTGTTCTGATGTCTGTTCTTTTAGTTGTTATTTTGAAATTGTTGTGTGAGGTGGCAGTTTGGGCACTTACCTAAGCCACCATCTTGGTTCTCTCCAAAGTGTAATACATTTTTATATACTGATTTTATATTTAACAATTTTGCTGGATGTTCTTATCCTAATAATTTTCAATGAATTTTTAATATAATTAATTATGTCATCTGTGAATATGATTTTTTCTTTGCTCTCATTTTTTGTTCTTTTATATTTCTCTTGTTTTTTTATTAGAGGCCCTAAGCATGAAAATTCATGCACTGGAGGGAGGGATGTCCCTCAGCTGGACCTGTCCCCTCTCACAGTCTGAGAGCCCTCAGGGGTGGGAGGTGATCCTGAGATCAGGGAAAGGCGGTGCCTCATCACATCTCTCCTGCTGCCACTGCCAGCAGCACAATCCTTGACTCGCCCTGGTTACCTGAGCCTCGGGCAGCCCTGAACAGCTGGGAAGCCACCATCTGAGACTTGCCTGCACCTTGGGTCAGCCTGGGAGCAGCTGGGGGGTTGAGGGGACTGGGGGACTCCAGAGGCAGGTGCACCTCCTGGTGGGGCTGAGGAGACTGGGCGCCACCATCTGTGGCTGTGGGCACTGCCATCTTTGAGAGTGGGGCAGTCAATTAGCATATTTCCTCCTTATTGGCTGCGGGTGCTGCCATCATTGTGACAGTGAGGCTCAATTAGCATATTCCCTCTTTATTAGATAGGATGTTGACCTCCAGACAGAATTGGTAAATAGAAGTGGTGATTAATTGTCATCCTTTCCTTTCTTTTGATTTTAGAGCCATTGCTTATAATAACTCACCATTAGGTAAAATGTTTGTAGTAAATTTCTGGCAGATATCTTTTGTCAGGTTCAGGAATTTCACTTTCTAGTTTGCAAGGAATTTTATTCATGTGTTTGTGCAGAATTTTATCAAATACCTTTTCTGCTTCTAATGAGATGGTGTGGGTTGACTCTTGCTGAAGGGGTGTTAAGATGCAGCCTATGGTATCTTCAAGGTACAAAGTCATTGCCAACTGGGGCTGGGAAAGATTTTATATTTTGAAATATGATTTACATAATGCAAATACATTTTGTAAACGTACACCCTTTTTTGGGAAATACCATGTTGCTATGCTGTCATGCTTGAAATATAAAACTAAATGTTGTTTGTATGTTTTTCTCTTCAGTATTACTTTACTGTCCTTTTTGGCCACGAAGGTCAGAAACCACTGGAGCTGCGCTGCGAGGAGCAGCAGGATGGTAAAGAGTGGATGGAGGCCATTCACCAAGCCAGGTATGGGCTCAAATCCTCTGTGTGACACGGGGCTGTCTGGATCTTTCATTGGTATGTCACGGTCGGTGGTAGCTTTGGAAGAACTTGCAGTTCCAAGATGAGTTACCCCTCGATACTTCCCTCTTAGTCATGTGTGAGATGATTCTTTGAGTTTTCTCTGGTTATTTTTTTCTAGCTAAAGAAAGGCAATAGATATAACAATAGCAATAACAGATCACTTTTGTGGATTTATTCCTATGTACCAGGCACTGTTCTATGTGCTTCTCAATTGAGGAATTTGTTAAATGTGTCGATTGACTTATCTTTTCAACAGTCTATGAGAAAGGTACCTCTTTTATTCCCTCTAGGAAATTGAGGTCTGGAAAGATAGTTTGCTTGCCTGCGGTCCCACTGTTAGGGAAGAGCAGAGCTAGAATCTGGACCCAGCCCTGTTTATCAGGAAATGTGATACCAGTCTCTGTCTAGGGCAACAGAAGAGTCTGATTTTGCTTCCTCCTTAGAAGTACCAGGAAGATGGAATGGAAAATAAAAAACACAGGCAGACCTCTCTCTTTATTTTCATATTCAATTCCAAAGTCCCACCCATTTCTTTGCTTCAAATGGCTCCCATGCTCACAGCTTTTTGAGTGTCCCCTCCCTATTCTAGGCTCTCCTCACTCCACCATTCCCTGCTCATATCCCAAGTATTTCAGTGGCAAAACTTGAGCTAGGACACACGTCCTTTTTCTGCACTTGATAGGCCCTCCTTCTAAATGTCCATACATGTTGCTCTTACCCCTTCATGGAACCTCCCCTTACAGGTCACTCCACACTGGCCCCCTTGTCCAGATTGCTGAATCACTTGCATTATTACATGTGGAATATATAACAATTACTACAATTTAGGTTGTTATTATTATTTATTTATTTATTTATTTATTTATTTATTTATTTATTTTTTACATATTTCATGTGTGAGGTTTCTGTTTCCTGAGCTGTCTGGAGAGTGAGGAAGAGGATGAGGGCACATTCATTTCTGAATGAAGCACAGGCTAATTGTACAGTAAATGATCAGGAAATATTTTCAGATGGATTATAAAGACAATGAGAATGTACTGAGTGAGTGTAGACTGATCTTTTAACCCTTGAAACTTTTCTCTGAAAGTTACCTCCTATCCCCTCTTCTTCCTTCAACTTCTTTTTATTGACCACCTCCTCTATGACATGCAGTACGCAAGTACTTCACTTACTTACCTGTCTATTCCTCACAGTTAACCAGGGAAGTATTATTAATTCTATTTTACAGATGAGAAAACAGAGTTTCATGATGATTCATCAGATTGTCCAAGATCTAACACAAAGTTGTTGGGCTGCAGAGCTGGGATTTAAACCCAGGTCAATCAGACTCCAGAACGTTTAATCAATGTGCAGAATTGTACCTCTCTAAGTTATTGTCTCTTTCTCTTCAGTTCTTCCCTTTTCCATTTCTTTTTCTTTTCCTTGATTCAGAGATGAAAATGGATTTATGTGAGGTCAGGGTTGAGAGTATAAGGTGCTAATTCCAAAATATTTCAGTTCCTTTTCTTCAAAATATTTCTCAGAGATGTGCAGGGGTGGCGACTAAATGCTGTTCTCCAGGTGGGCCTTGGGGGCAGCTTGCTGGCATCATGATTTAGGCACACTGTTCAGTTGTCTTTGCTCTCAGTGGCTCTGACTGAGGGTTTTGCTCCAGAGTTAGAACTAATGTAGAGTGACTTGCTGTAGAAAAAGGTCAGGCCTTCAAAGGTGAAAGAAGTATCAAGTTGGCAAGGTGGAGACCGTGGGTCATTTCCAGACACAATCTTTGTCACCACTTGTGTTCCCTTTACCTGGGAACTAAAGTGAAGTAAATAATTTAAAATGTGTATTTGCCCATTTTTTACATTCCAGAAAATCCAGGTACTACTAGTAACCAAACACAGAGTATAAATTACTTTTAAAATGGTGAGATTTCAAGTATTAGATTTTTAAAAATATCATAAGAACTGTCATATAAGTGGAACTGAGTTGGTAGCTATGTAATATTGATTAGCATATGATTAAAACCAGGTCATGTGTGATCTTGTTAGGAAACAGACTTTAGAAACACTTCAGTGGTTTAGGTAACCAAATGGTAAAAATTCTCTTCTCTTTTGATTTAAGATTTGGTTAATAATTGATCTTTTGTCCTGATGTTCTAACTTTTTGGTCCATTATATTTACATTTCCTTTGACTTGAAGCCCAGGATTCGGTTATTTGATGGCTTCCTTTTCATCTCGTGGGTTTATACCTGAGTTCTTCTATTTGACTTTTTTTGCATTGGGATGCTTCTTTAATTTTTCTTTTTTAAACCAGGGAAGATAAAAACTTTTTCATTAAGGTGAGTTCTTGCTGTAATCTTGGATCTGTGAAATTCATCCTGACTTTGTTAATACATAAGTAGAGCCAGAAAGTTAATGAAACTGATTCAGAGAAAGAACTTGTCAGCCACTTTTGCTTGGTATTGTGCTAATTAAAGCAATTGGTTGGTTGGCTGAATATTTCACCTTTAGAGGACAGTTTGATGTCATTAATTAGGTACTGCTGCCTCATTAATAGAAAATGCTCAATATGTATGATTTCATTGATCTTTCTTTTTGCACTTCTCTTCATTATGAATTAGAGCTTTTGATTAACTAATGACTACTTTAACCTGAGCTGAGTTCTTTTTCTGAGCAATAATCCTCCTGCCGATACTACACAGTCACAAGGTCTGATCAGAAACTACATAGAAACAGGAACTAATCAGAACCCCTCTCTTGGTCACTGCTGTTTTCCTGGGATGGCTTCTCAGGATCAGCCTGGGTGTGCTGTCTTTTTGTGCCATGAACAGCACATTCTTGCTGCTGGCTTTTGTACACAGAGCTGAATCTACTTGCCACAGTTGGCTTTTAGAAGCCCTTTGGGCCATATTCTGAGATGTAGAGTTGGATTGTGCCTTAGGCCTGGCTCAGGGAAAAATTGTTTTGAAAATTAAATTCTCTTTTGTAGGTTTGATCTGGTCCAGGAAGTTTGTTTTATACTTTTGCTTGTAGTTAGCCATTATTGTATTTTGAGAACACTGACACATTTAAAGGTAATTTAATCACACAATTCTGGCCCCAGTTCATGAGAAACTGCTAGCAAGACTCAGTCTTATTTTCATCTGAATGATGTGCAGCCAAAGCATTTTAATAGCAATGAAGACTATGCTTGTTTCATAAGTCCCATGCTAATTGGATATGAAAGTTTGGATATTTCCAATAATCTGATACTTCATCTTTGTTCTCTTGATCAAATCTGTCCACCATGGTTGATTTAGTTATAGACATTAAGACAATCAAAACCACTGACTCTGTTGATTGTGGATCCTTAGGGCTCATAGGCTGCAAAGACAATGCACATTCATTGTAAAGGCGACAGCTTAGGGAGGAGAACTGGCTGTGGAGAGAGAGGAGATTAGGAAGGGTGATGTAGTGTTAGAACCTCATGCTAATGTGACACATAAAAATACCGATCAGTCAGTGGGATGGAACTATTGATATAAGAGAATTTAAAAGCCAGAAAAAAGGTGGAAGGTAGTAATGCTGAAGCAGCCGTGAGTAATGAATCTCTGAAGGCCTTGCGCAGCTGTATCGGGTGGCGGCTGCCAGGCCAATCACTGCTCAGTGGGGCGCTGCACTGCCGTCACCCAGGACTGGATTTTCCCAATTCCCAGAGACACTGTCATTCGATGTGATGTAATTGGAGGAGGAATGTTGTTCTTAAGAGTTTTCTCAATGAAATTGAGCGTGATCCTCACGCTAGGAGCAGTTTTCTTTAGTTGCTTGTTATATGACTTTTCAGTTTGAGTTTTACTCTAGTTCTTAGTCTTTATGTCTCATTAGCATATTAGCTCTAATATTACTCTCTCATTTCTAAGTATGTCCTTAATCAAAGTAACTAGAATGAGGTTCTGGCCCATCTAATAATTCTTTGTTCAGCAAATATAATTTTTATTCTTCTTTAAAAATAATTAAGGCTTATGATTTTATACTGTGCCTTTGACGGGACTCTTCAGGATTTTATTGGAATGTTTCCATTGATCCTATATGGAATAGAGGTGGTTTGGATTTGATTATAAATATTACACATGAATGTTTTACATATTTGTACATATACCTCAAACTTGCCATCTGCTGGTATTTGACAGATGAGTTGGCTTTCACCATGTTGATTTAATGGCTTAATTTTATTATTTCCTTTGGCAGTGAGAAACCATTTCCCCCCTGGTGGACATTAAACAAACAAACAAAAAAAGCACAGAAATAATGAATAGGTTAGGAAAAAAATTCTTAAGCTTGAGCATTTTCTAGAAACTAGAAAATGTAATCAGATGAAACCTATATTGGAAGTATAAAAGAGAAGTACCAAACTTCTGAAGTTTCTTACACTGAAAGGAAGCCATACATGCATGTTCAGTTGATTTGATGCAATTCTGAAGTAGACATTCATTTACTAGTGGGAAATACAAGAAGAGCTTTGTGATATAATGTTGAAAGTATATCTCAGTAAGAGTAGTTAGACATGTAAGGAGACCAATGAAATAACTTTAAAATTACAAAAAATGAAAATTATTGTGTGAAAAACAAGCCATGGAAATAAAAAAATCAGATGAATTTTTTTTATTTGACAATTACTTTTCATTTGAATGAATATTTTGTGCCAATCCCATGCCAGGTTCTAGACACCATGTCTGATGCTGGGCCAATCTTTAACATGTTTGCCTCAATTATTGTGGAACCTCCAACTGGTTTCCCTCACTCCAACCCCTTTCCTGTCTCAGCAGCCAGCATGATCCTGCTAAAAAATCAGATCTTGCCATTCCTTCTATCAAAGCTCTGGCATCTTATGCAGGGTGAAAACCTGAGATTTTATATTATTCTACAGAATCCTTCATTCTTTAGAATCCTGTTCCCTTGTTTACTTTTATTATTTATTCTCTATCTATAAACTTTTAAACATTTAGCTCCTTTGCTCTATCTAAATGTAAGCCTTTGCTGATTCTGAAAATTAAAAAGCAATAAGGGGCATTTACATCCTTGTTACACAAATATTGTGTACCAAACTATTAAGGTTAATGTTTGGTTCCATGGAGAATGAAAGGTATTCACATGTAATTGAATATTTTCTCCTTGAAGGAGAATCTTGCATGTGTTAATTTCTCATGTCTTTCTAGCTTTCTTTACTTCCTCTGCTTGTATTCTTGCATGCCATGTCATCTTATGTCTTTGTTTTCTGTTCTATTTGGTTGGGGAAACTCCTCATAATTTTTCTCCCGTTGTAAGTGTGGAGGTTACCAAACTGTTTTTCTTTTTTTACTTGTTTATTTGTTTGGAACTGGCATTTAGTCTATTGATTGGTTGCCACGGGTAGGAATTTAAGTTAAAAATAATTTCCCTTAAATTCTCTATTGGGATCTAGCATGTCAAGCTACAGATTGAGAAGTATATCATCTTGATTCTCACTTTCTTTAGATTATCAGTGGTTTCTCTTTGGGAGCTTTTGTAATTTTTTTGTCTACTCTTAGAGCTCAGATATTTTACCAAGACGTGTTCGGGTATGAATTGTTTTCATTTATCCTGTCTAGATTACCTTTTATATTTGAACTGTGCCATGGTCAGTTCAGGGGAGATTTCTTTCATTTTTTTGATGCTCCCGCTCCCCCCTCCCCCCAAATCACAGTCTATGTTGTTTTCCTTCTGGAAGTTTCATATAATAGCGAGTAGACTTCTTGGATCTATACTCCATATTGTTCCATTTTTCTTTTATTTCCAGTCTCCTAGTATTTTTGTTCAGTGTTCTTTATCTCGCCAACTACCCAGCTTAGTTTTCGGCCATGTCTGGTGTAGTGCTTAGCACATTCAATGACCTGTAAACTAGAAAGCTGACAGGAACCAGGTAGTCATTATTTTTCTGACTCAGACTTTCTGTGTCTCCTGTCTCTACTCTTCTGAACATCTGTTATTCTTTTCTCTCTCAGAAGACTCAACTTTTCTGGGCATCGATGTGGCCAAATACTGCTGCCCAACAATGTCAACCTGAGTTTCCAAGTTCAGATCTTCTCAGTTCAAGCAAATAGGTCAGAGGCACAATATCAGATTCTAGGGAGAAAGAATCTAATTGGTTTAGCTTGGGCCAGTTATATCCTTTTAGGCTAGTTTAATGTGGCCTTCAGGGCAGGTTTTGTGGTACAAATATAGCTGCTAGGGCCCACATTCCCAAAGATGTAAGTGGGTAGAAGATTGTGCTTATATCTCAAAATGTATCTGCTGCATTATTATTGTTTATACCCGGTGCACCATTTCTCACTAGAGAAAGTTTAGCTTGTTGTTAAGACATACCTTAATTGGAATCCCACTCAGCCCTGCTACCTACTAGTTGTCTGACCTCTGAGGATCAGATTCTTTCTCTGTACAATTGGGATGATAAAACCTATCTTCTCAGGTTACTGGGAGGATGAGATGAGAATATGTATGGTATTCCCTACACATGAAATAAATAGAAACCATTGTTAATTACTGCTATCATCATACCATTTGGGAAAGATTATGTGAATGGAAGAACATCCATTTTACCACCTTGAATAGTGCAAGAAGATCTAGAGACAAAATTTAGATGCTACAGACAGGCATAACCAATAAAAATCTCACAGTCAGTTTGCCTTTATCACATTTGGTCAAAGAAATGGACATAGGTCAGATTGTTGGAGTTAGGGCTCAAAGAATCTACACTTATTTCCAGAATTAAATTTTTTACTTCTGTTGTTTCTGGAAAGTGCAAGGGCAGTCAGTGGTCTCAAAATATTAAAGAGAGCTAAGCAAAACTGGTGGTTGTTGGTACAGTCATCATAGTTCTTTTCAGCCAGTGCCAATTCCATTAATTGTTTCATTGATTCTGCTTGGTGGCAAGTCTGTTCTGATTGGCTAGTGCCTTACCCAGTGAAATATTTTGAATATCATCCCAAGAAATCAAGTATGTGCCATCAATTCAAAGGACTTCAGTTTCTTTATTTAAAGAGATGTATTATTTTCTTTATAAAAAATAGATTTCCTTTGCACTTTTCTCACTGATGTGCTAAAATTGTGGGTGGCAGATGTCGTTAAATGAACTCTAATAAAAAATATGTAAAAAGATAGTGTTTCAAATTATGTATAGTTAAAGGATGCCAAATGTAAGCCAAAACTTAAATGAACTCTGTGAAAACAATATATGTAAAATGATAATGATTCAAATTCTTTACAGATGGAGGATACCAAATGTAAACCAAAATTAATGTTTACATAGAGTTAGCCAAACAAGCTATGCTTATGGCTTCTTTTTAAAATGTTGTGCATGCTTTTCTAAATGGAACTATAGTAGAACAATACCTCAATGACTAACTATTTTTCTCCCAAGTTATGCAGACATTTTGATTGAGAGGGAAGTGTTAATGCAGAAGTACATTCATCTAGTTCAGATCGTAGAGACAGAAAAAATTGCAGCTAACCAACTACGGCATCAACTCGAAGATCAAGATACCGAAATCGAAAGGCTTAAATCAGAGGTATTTCCCAGTAGATGGATTCTTTCTCATTGTTTCATGTTGACTGTCGTATGGCCTATCAGGGTAAATTTTAATCCCCAACTTAGTTTCTATGCTTTCAACACATACATGGGCAGGCTATTGATCTCCATTAGGAATGACTCTAATGTGTCTATGTTAAAATTAGGCAAATATGCTTCAATAAAGTATCAGGATTATAGACTTTTAAAAATTATTTGTGCTCCTGATGTCCTTTATTTGATCAGATATGCAGAGTTGACCTCAATATTTAACTGTTTCCAATTCAATTAAATCTAAACGATAACTAAGGAAGGACAAAAAGTGAATTAACAATGACTTTCCTTTTTTTTTTTTTTTTTTTTTTTTTTTTTTTTTTTATATAAGACACCAATGTCTCCTCTCTAGAATTTTGAAAAATATGTTTAAAGTAAAATATAAGCCATGTGTTAGGGTGCATTTTTTCCTGAAGTTGCAATTCCAATATCCTTCTTCTTCTCCCATCACCTTAGCATGAATTTCAAGCCCTATACTCCTAGGTAGTGAGACCGATACCAGGTTAGAGTGGAAGGTGGTCTAGTGTCTGCAACAGTGGCAGTGTGCCTGGTCCTCCCTCTCTCCAAGAAGCCTGTGTGTGTGTGTGTGTGTGTGTGTGTGTGTGTGTGTACTATATATATACCTTTTCTTGCTATCTTGTCATTCCTTGTGGGAAGTTTCAATAGTTAAAGATTTGAAGAGGAATGTAGAAAATGAGGTTTTTTTCCCCCCTTTCTGACCAGCAGTGCATTAGTATCTCTTAGCTTTGAAGACAAGAATAAGATAGAATGAAACCTATTACTAATTATATCCTTGATGACAGAAATAAAAAGTTCTTCAGCCTTGGTAACTTTATCACTTTTTTGGACAACATTGTCTTCTTCGTTTCCTCACATCTTCCTCTTAGACATACTCTGTGAATCCTGTGAGGGGTTTCACCCCCTGGTGCCTGTGTACATCACCTCCATGTACAGAGCATGGGCATAAGCTGGTTCCATCTGGGATCTGCTTGCTTCTCCGGTGATGATAAGTTGCAGATCTTGTTCACCATATCATTAGTGTTGTTCACTTCCTGATTCAACCCTGAAATCCAATATACTGAAAACAAACAAACAAACAGAAAATGTAACAAACCTGCCTTTAAAAAACTATATCAGGCACTGTAATTTAAAACAAAATTATTGTGTTCTTTCTTTGCCACAGTCAGCTAGAGCAGATTCTTGTCTGCTAAGTGAAAGAGGTTGGCATTTCCTCTATAAGAGAAACTCAGCACTGAGCAATGTTCCCCAACATTTATCTGTGTGTGCTTCTCTGTATTCAATACATTCTATTTTAGTCTGAACACAGACTGCAGTTAAAAACTGTCAGTAGCAGGTATATCTTGTGTGTTTGCTTGACAAGAGCCATAATTTATTTCCTCCTTTTATTTCCCCCTTCCCTGCCAGAACATGGTAGAGATGTGTATTGGCCTTGAGAATAAAATGTAGACAGGCCAGAGGGAGCAATTATGATCCCATAGCTCTGAATTTGCTGGTTAGTAAATCTATAAAGGCTCTTACATTTGTAAGAGCCTTCAATAGAGTGGCAGTCCAGTGAATGTTATTACTCAATGCAGTTGAGAGGCGATCTGGTCTTGAGTTGCCCCTCGCAGTCACAGAACTGAGCTGGAGACAGAAAAAGGTCTCAGGTTGTTCCCATCGTTTTTATGTTTTAACCTTTTCTTGGCTGGCTGGGACCAACCCTATGGGTCTGAAGCTCCCTATGCAGTTACCGTTTCCCCAAGGAGATCTGTGAGTCTCTGTACTGAGTGTAGATGGACGGCCACAGGCTAATTATTCCCACAGGAAAGCATAAGCATTGAGCTGACTGTCATTGCATTTGGAGACCACAGGACATTTCAGGCAGCTCCCTTTAGCAAGGTGGTTGACATGTCACTCAGCTCCTGAGAAGGCCTGGCTTGGTCATCACTGGCAGTTAGGGTGGATTTTGGCCCAACATTTCCTAACCCAGATCCCAGTTCACACTTTCACAGGGACTTCTTATAATAACTCGTTAATAACAAACCAATACAGGCTTGGGGCGAAGTTCATGCTTCCCCTGCCACAGCACCAAAGCCAGAGAGAGAGTGAATAAAAACTGAATGTTTCCTGAGAACCTCGTATGCTACCTTGTAGGCATGACTTCTTATGAGTTATGGCAATAATCCAGTGTTTTCCAGATCATGTAATGGACCTATTTTGTGTTCTAGATTATTGCTCTTAATAAAACCAAGGAACGAATGCGGCCTTACCAAAGCCATCAAGAAGAGGATGATCCAGACATCAAAAAGATTAAAAAGGTAGGATGCTACCGGTTTCTGGCTGCAGAGTAGCACAGTGACCAGTTGTCTTGTAATAATGTCTTTGCCACCCTGACCCTGCGCTGAGAACGTTGGTGTTTCTGTTCTAATGGCCCTTCAAAGTGATCCAGACATGACTACTTTTTCAGAAAAGTTTCAGCTTGAGATTTCTTCCCAGTCCTGAGAATCCTCTTTTGGATTCTGTGGGAAGGATGCTATAACCAGACATTAAGATAATGGTGTGCCGAAACTGGTTTGGCTCAGTGGATAGAACTTCGGCCTGTGGACTGAAAGGTCCCGGGTTCGATTCTGGTCAAGGGCACGTGCCTTGGTTGTGGGCACATCCCCAGTTGGGGGTGTGCAAGAGGCAGCTGATCGATGACTCTCTCTCATTGAGGTTTCTAACTCTCTATCCCTCTCAATTCCTCTCTGTGTAAAATCAATAAAAAATATATTTAAAAAAAATAATGGTGTTCCCCAGTTGGGTTAATTAGGTGCTGTGTAACTTAATTTTATACCACTTCTTATTTTGGGGGAGTGTTTTTTAAATTACATTCAAACCTATTTCTTTTAGCATAATCTTTAGCACTTATTTTTTTGAACATGTGAGAAGATTAGGTAAATCGCTACATCTGCTCAGATGTCTGGTTTATTATTGTTTGTTTCTTGTTCAACATCCACAAAATCAGCAGATCCTTTGCCATCTTACTGTTATGTATAACTGTACAACTTTTGCAATTAGCCAGACACTGGTGCTCAGTCTAGCTTGCTGTGTTTGCTTCAGGTCATCTGGATTTTGAGTTCGGTAATCTTAATAGTTCTGTGTGAAACACTTACTTGGTTTTGTTAACATTATGTGAAAAGCCTCACCATTAAACTGTTTATATGTTCTTTATTTCTTAATCCTGTTTTCCTATGCTGAATAATTATTCCCTTTCAGTTGTAGCAAAATTTTAGCTAAATATTGTTTAGAATTTGAAATAGAAAAGCTTCTTAGGACTAAGTTATAATGCTTTTAGTTTTTAAGAAATAAAAAAGTGAAATAAAATAAATTCTTTCTTAGAATTTATAACTTTATAAGTTGAATTTTTTTTATGTTATTATGTTTTAAGATTCATATTATTGCCTTTCTTTTGATAGTAAGCAGTTCATGTAAGCAACAATATCAGTAAAATACAATTTTCAGTGCAGTTGTAGAAGCTGGTCTGTTAGGAAGTGAATGAATCAGCTTTTGCTCAGCAGAAGATAATTGTCCAAATAAAAAGTTTTATTTAATATAAAATTCAATTTAGTTTATTTTAAAAATATACTCTGTTAAATGGAAGAATATCAAAAAAGTAAATAGATTTTACATTTAATAACTTCCCATTTCTTAATAGAAAAAAATTTAAAACTATTTTTAAACTTATTAAATAGATTTTGAAATTAACTATATTGTTTTTCTGTTCCAAATCAAACTAATATCTATGTGAAAAAGGGCTGTTTACAAATGAATTATTTTCTCTATTCTGATCAACACAATTTGTTAACTTCAAGAGACCAAAAATTGAAATTGATTATAACTCATAGAAATTTGCCATTAGATTTTTCCCAATAATATACATATAATTTCTGCCCATATAATTCTATTAAAACATGGTTAATTTTTATTGTTTGTTCTACAGACATTCATACAGTCAACTGTATGAATGTCTGTAGAAAATTGATAGTGTGCTGACAACATCAGTAGGTAAATGAGAGAATTTAGACATTGCAAAAGAAGAGTAGTTGTTTAAATACATAATAATTTAGACTACAAGGGTAAAACAATATGGAAAAAATAAAAAGTGTAAGTCTGAATAGAAAACAATGATACTAAAAACAGAGTTGGTAGTGATTTAATGCTCTCAATTATGTGTAAATTTGTAACCTGCTTTGTTGCTGAATCTGCCACTTTAATATAACAAATCCTAATGAATTATCATATAGGCTTTTTATATTTAGAAAGGACCTCAGATATATTTGGTCAATTATTTTATAGATGAGAAAAGAGGACCAAAAGTCACGGTTAGTCAGAAGGTTAGTTGCAGAGCTTTTGAACACCTCTTCTGACAGACATAAAGAGCCTGTCTCGCAATTCCCTGAGGTTTTCTTTTTTTTCCTTTCTTCTTCCCCTTCCCCTTCTCTTCCATCTTTTTTGCTCTTTAGGTTCAGAGCTTCATGCGAGGTTGGTTGTGTAGGAGGAAATGGAAGACCATCGTGCAGGATTACATCTGCTCTCCTCATGCTGAAAGTATGAGGAAGAGAAACCAGATTGTGTTCACCATGGTGGAGGCAGAGTCGGAGTATGTTCACCAGCTCTACATCCTGGTCAACTGCTTCCTCCGGCCCCTACGAATGGCCGCCAGCTCCAAGAAGCCCCCCATCAGCCATGACGACGTCAGTAGTATTTTCCTCAACAGGTTTGTCTTGGCACAAATCAGTCCTGTGGAAAACCCGTTTGTATTTCTCAAAATGTTTACTCGTAAAAAATGAGTTTCATAAATTCACTTTTGTGAGTTTAAGATATTGAAAATTAGAAGGCTATTATTTGTGTTTCAATAGTAGTCCAATTTGTATATCTTTATCTTGAATCTTGGCATGTAGTTTTCTGTTTGACATATGTTTTCTCATCATTGTATGGGGGTATGTGTATGTTGGGGAAGATCATCTCCCTCACAAAATGAAGGAAATGGAGTGATTAATGGGTCTTTACAACTGATTTATACAAAAGTACTCTAGGAAGAGCAAAAACTAACAGAGGGCCTGAGATTTTCTAGTAAATCTATTTACTCAATAAATATTTATAGTACAACAATGTGAATATACTGCTTTACTGCTGAGGATTCATCAGTGAACAAAGAAAGAAAAAAAAAAAACCCTGCCTTCATGGAACTTGATGTAGGAAGACAGACAATGAATAGTGATTAAGTGAACTGTGTAGTATATCATGTGGTATTGAGTTCTGTAGAAAAATGAAGAAGTAAAGGAGAGACCTAACCGGTTTGGCTCAGTGGATAGAGTTTCGGCCTGCAAACTGAAAGGTCCCAGGTTTGATTCCGGTCAAGGGCTCATGCTTGGGTTTTGGGCTTGATCCCCAGCGGGGGTAGTATAGGAGGCAGCCAATCCATAATTCTCTCTCATCATGGATGTTTCTATCTCTCTCTTCCTCTTCCTTCCTCTCTGAAATCAATAAAGAAATATATTTTTAAAAAAGAAGCAAAGGAGATAAAGAGGGAAGGAAAGTGCTTGGGTATTTCACTTAAAATTTTAGTTATTTGTATTTGAGTAGATAATACAGAATCACAAGTCAAAATAATATAAAAACATCAAACAACAGTTAGAAATCTCATTCTTATTCTGCCTTCGCCCACCCCATTCCCCCACTTTCTGTATGTAATAATTTAAATTAATTTCTTATATATCCTTCCAGCGTTTATTAGTGTAGATGAAAGAAAATATGGATTTTGAGTCTTACATTGCCCCTTATTGCACAAAAGGCAATGTATTTTTAATATAGATTTTTCTTTCATGTATCAATATATCATGGACATCTTTTCATATTCATATCTAAAGAACATTCTATTTTTTTTTAAATTGCTACAATGTATTAAATTATTTGAATGTGCCAGTTTTGTATGTATAGAAAACACTGAAAAATAAGTTAATATTTGAAAAAAGGCTTCAGTTGGTGAGGAAGTAAGCCATGACTATCTAGGGGGAAAGTGATGTAGACAGAGCGGACTACCTATGCAAAGGACCCGAGTAGGCCTGACTTGCTTGTTTGAGAAACTTCCAAGGTTTGTGTGGATGCATGGGGAAGCTAAAGTGTTAACAGTAAGACATTATAAAATTGTTTACTTTTACTTTAAATGAGATGGGGAAACGTTGGTGGGGTTTTGAGCAGAGAAGTGGCATGACACAACTTATGTTTTAAAAAGCTCACTCTGGCCTCTCAGTTGAGAGCAGACTATAGGGAGATCAATAAGCTAAGTGATGGATGGTTACATCAGGGAGGCCTGTCAGGTGCCTGTTGTGATAAACCAACTAAGAGATGATTGTGATGGAGAAAGTGGTAAGTCGTTGGATTCTGGGTATATTTTTAGTACAGAGCCAGTAAGATTTGTTGATGAGTTTGATGTGGATTTTGAGGGAAAACAAAAAGCAGGTAAAATTCCCAAGGTTTTTGGCCTGAACAACTAGAGTATGGAGTTGCTATTTAATACATGGAGGAAGACTAGGGAAAATATGAAGAGCTTTTATTTTGGAACTGCCAAGTGTGAGATGCTATTTGCCATCCAAGTGGAGAAATCAAATGAGCAGGGATTGGATACTAGATTGGCATTCAAGGTGGGAGTTTGGGATGGGGATATAAATTTGGAAGTCCAATAGCATATGATTAGTAAGCTGTTAGTATTCATGAGATTGCCAAGGGAGTGGGTTCAGATGATTGAGAGAAGAACAAGGTCTGAGCCCTGGGTTATTTCAACATTTAAAGGTTAGAATATGAAGAAGAGTTATAATGTGACAGTAAAGAGAATCAGTTAGAAATGCAAGGTGAAAAACAGAAGTGTGAGTTGTCCTGAAAACAAGGCAAGAGGGAATGAATAACTATATCAAAAGGTCAAATAAAATCACAACTTAGAACTGACTATGGGTTTAATAACATGGAGCTCATTGGTAACTGATGAGGGGGTGGGTCCAAAGCCAGAATGGAGAGAATGGAAGGATTGGAATTGGAGGAGAGTATGTATAGAAAACTCTTTCAAAGGAGGGATATTATGAAAAAAAAAAAAAAAAGACAAAAAAAGCAGAGAAACAGGGTGGTACTTGGAGATAAATAAAAAAGCGTGTGTGTGTGTGTGTGTGTGTGTGTGTGTGTGTGTGTGTAATGAGAAGTCTGATAACATGTGATTGAAAGCCTGGCTTTGCTGTTGTGAGGAAGGAGGGAGATTTCCCCACATTGGGTGGCAATGGCTCTACTCAAGACTAAATTATACTCTTTTTGCATTTTTATAGTGAAACAATCATGTTTCTGCATGAAATATTTCATCAAGGACTGAAGGCAAGGTTAGCAAACTGGCCTACTTTAATTTTAGGTAAGTGCATGCTTTGGTTCCTCTTACTCTGGCTACCATTAGAGTGAAATAATTCCAACATTATTCAGCGGAAGCTGTTGAATTTTCCCACTGATCTGAGCTGCTTTAGCCACTGGGAATTTGTCTCCTTGGCCTTTGGGCCCTGCCCTACGACTTGCCTTCCCCCTGGCCTGTCATGGTCATTCTGGGCTAGAGTCAGGCTCTGCCCCAAGAACACTCTGTCCGATCGGTCATTCAGGCATCTGGTCTGGTCCCCAGGCATGTGTGACACCTGGTACTGGGAGGAGCCACCCCAGTGCCTTAGATAATTTACTGAGCACTGAGAGAAACTGCCATTTTACTTCTTCTTTCAGCTGATCTGTTTGATATTTTGCTCCCTATGCTGAACATTTATCAAGAATTTGTGCGTAACCACCAGTACAGCCTCCAAGTGCTTGCCAATTGTAAGCAAAACAGAGATTTTGACAAACTCTTAAAACAGTATGAAGCCAACCCGGCCTGCGAAGGGAGGATGCTGGAAACGTTCCTGACCTACCCGATGTTTCAGGTGAGTTCTCTGGGGTGCCTTGTACGAGTCACTGGTTCCAGCTCCGTGTTCCTGATGACCAGAGGGAGATGTGCAAGGATCCCCTGTGAAGAATTATCACACACATGCATCATCTCTCATCTTGGTCTTGACCTTGAGATAATCACATTTATGCCCCACAACTTGCTCTCTGCCTAATATATGTAAGAAAGCCAGGCATTTTTGAGACAATTACATAAAAAATGATTTTTTTTTCTTTTGAAAAGCAGCACAATGTTCTCTTTATAGAAAGATTCCACGCAGACCTCTTCCATGAAGTCTCCTCCTCCAGCATGTTTAAAAATATTATTAGGGTTACAGAAATAGGATGCTGTGCAAATGTTCCAGGATATGCTGGTTGCATAAAAGGTTCCTGGGAAGCTGAGTGGACCAGTGGGGAGTCTTATGTTCCTGGCCCTCCTCCCCACCCTGCTGTGATTGCTGCTGAGTCCCCCTTGGCTGGAGCTGTGGAGAGCAAAGGAGGACCTCCCAGGCGACAGAAGCTGTTGAGACTTAGGAGCCAGAGGCATTAGCTGGGTTGGGGACTCTTGGCCTCTCTCGGGCTGCTGCAGGGAGGCTGGGGCTTGTCGTGACATTCACTTTGTGGGATTAGAGCAACCAAAGGGATAAAGTACACTTGTGTTCTTTCCTATATCTTGGGCTTTACCATTAAGAGCCTTTGAGTGAGAATTGCAAAGGCCAAAAAGCAAACTGAGTTGCCTGTTCTCTTGAAAAGTGTTGATGCTGTTCTTTTGGAAAGGCAATGAGTGTTCCAATGTGGAATTTATGGGGCATCTGGCCAGCCCTTTAAATTGTCATGTTGGTAAATTGAATCCCCGAATCATGTGTGTTAGGGTTTCTGTGGGGAGCTTTGTCCCCCTCAACGCTGACCCCGGTGGATCATTTTCTAGCCTCAGAAAGAAATGTTGGCCTGGTTTGCAATGGTTTATCTTAAAGTTTGTCAAATCTGTTTGAAATCCTGGAAATTGCTATAGAAGTTTAGTAAAATCTCTATAAAAACCCAAAGGATGCATTTGAAATAACTTAAGTATAGTGGAACTTTGTAATGTTATTGTGTGTGTGTGTGTGTGTGTGTGTTTCATGGAACTGAATTGTTTGAACTCTTTGCCTCTCTGAGGAAATATTTCACAAGGAAAACTTCAAAGAAAAAAAAAGTTTTCTTTTTTGGTAACCTTATACAAAATTGTAATTTAAGATTTATTTACGGTGAAACAAATTTTGGATAGTGCAATGTTCTCCTGGGATTTTATTTGATTTTTTTTGGCAATTGCCTCTAGGTTATGATTAAAATACTCTAAATTGATTCTGTTCAGCAACCCCAACTCAGGTGAATATACAAAGGCAGAGTTTGAGAGACACATGGAACATTCAGAGAGGTTCCCAGCTCCTTCTCACCGGTGTCTTTCCAATTGCTACTTAGTTCCCTCTGGTCAAGCTCTCTCAATGTTTTAAAATGGCAGGCTGCACTTGCACTTTAGGTGACATGTTTAAAAGTTGAATATAGGGTCTTGGAAAGGTCTGCGGATTTCTTAAAAATGCTGTCATACTCTTCCACCACCTCTCCCTCCCTCCCCATGGAGTTTAAGCCCAATAACGATGGGCATTTTGATTGACTCCAAGGACTTCCCAGAATACAGACAAGGACTATTAGACGGGGAATCTTCAGGAGACCTGGATGTCTTGCTCACCCTTTAGTAATAGCTTTGGGGAAAATAATTGAACCAATCTAAATCCCCATTTCCAGATCTCAAAATTGAGGCAGCTGAGCTGTGATTATCTCCCAGGCACCAGCTCTGTGATACTACTCGCATTAGACTGGTTCTGAAAGTTTGGTTAGGTAACTACATGGTGGTGTTAGTCTAGGCCCTAACCCTCTCCGCCTCTGCCAAGACTTTGGTGGCTTCAAATCCTAGAATTTAGCTGAAGGGTCAGATGTTGAGATTCTCTGGCTTCGTCCAAATCAGGGTAACAAAAGCCTCAGCTTATGAGAACCATTGCTTGCTCTGGGAGAAACCTCAGATTTAAAGAATTTGGCCAGAACTGGTCCACCTGCAAGAAATGGGCAAATTGAAAGAGCACAGGATCGTGCTCTTTACTTATTTGCTTCCTGATAACAATTTTGCTTCCTTATAACTATTTTGAATAGACCAAGAGGGAAAATCATCAGAGTTTGCTGCCCAAGGGCTTCACCCTCATTGATGTCTCTCCTCTGTCTGGTTCATTTGTGTCTCTCCCTCCTACTGTCTCTCCATGTGACACATGGAACACTTAGGGGTGGGGTTGCTTTTTCTAGAAGGTGAAAGGTTTTTATTGCTAGGCCCATGTCCATTCCACTCTTCTTGTTCTCCTTTGGTCCTTTCACTAACGAGATGAAATAGTCATGAGGCACTTGCTCTCTCAAATGGTCGAGGCACATCTATGTGCCTCTGCGTGCATTGTATTGGCAGTGACACTTCTGCCTTGCTCTGATGTAGGCTGAACACCTTGGGATGAGGGTGGCACATTTCAGTTTTTTGCTGTATATCAACAGTGAAAGAGATGAGCCTAGCTCATACCACCAGCTTGTTTCTTTTTTGAGTCTGTATATGGGGACAGAGGTTGGTGTGGAGCAGAGAAAGGGGAGAGGTGATTGGCAACTTTTAGTCTGTGGATGTGTAGAAAAGTATTATATTTTTCCTCTTTCTGGGCCCCTTGTCCAGTAGGTCAATTCCTGCTGTTAATGAACTGTGTTGAGTTATGGAAACATGGAGGAATTGTAGAATTCGGATGATACAGTGACTATACTAGTATCCTCAATTGAACTGTCAGATAAGCAAAACCAAGTGTTGTCAAGAAATTTGTTATGGAAAACAATGTAGTCATTAACATAATTTTTTTTATGTTGCAAAGACAGTGGCTTGTCTAAAACTGTTTAAATTGGCCTCAGCTGCTCATAAATCCACAGGTAAGCTGATCATAAAATCTGCTTCTGGTAAGACCAGCATCGTTAAATGTTCACCAGAAAATAGCCACCTGTTTATGGTTATTGGAGAACAAACTAATTAATGTCTGTAAAGTGACAATTATTGTTCCATAACTGAAAAAGTAATGATGGTTCGCCTAGATCAGTGATTTTAACTGGTGTGCCGCAATAATTTTTAAAAGATGCAATTCCTGGCTAATTTAGTGAGGGGCACTGACCTCTTTTCCTTAGATTGTCAAATTTAAAAAATGACAACAGCTAACACAACAATAGCCATCCGGTGTGAATGAATCAAAATTATACCTATATATTTTTTGTCAGATCAGCAAAAAATATAATGAATTTTTTGGTGTGCCACAGAATTTTAGTAATTAGTTTATGTGTGTTATGAGATAAAAAAAAAAAAAAGGTTGAAAACCACTGATCTGGACAGTACTTTTTTGTAATTCTTGGGTTTTGGGGGAACAGATTTATAATCAGCACTTGAATATACAGATAAGCTCTTTGGAGAGCCGTCCATTTCTCTGCAGAATGTTCTTTGCCCACTTTTTGGCAGTTTCAGGCATGTTTGTTCCTTTACTTTCTCGTGGAAAAGGCCAGTTACTAAATTTCAAATCTATTCTCTTGAACCTCAGCCAGGGAGCTCTCTAAAATAGATTGAATTAATGGGGGAGGATTATGGAGGTATTGACTAAACTCAGTTTAGTGGGGTTTTGGTGTACTATAAGTAGTCAGGCTCTCCCACTCCTGCCCTCTTTGTTATGAAAATCTGAGTACCTTAGCTGGTGATGGCCTTGATTTTTTTTGTGGACTGTTAACTTAGAGGAAAACTTTCATCAACCCTGGGATTATGAAAAAGGGGTATCTGAAAGCGTACTTGTCCCAGGAGCTCCACCAGTGGCACAGCCCTACAGGCTGTCTCGCTGAGAAGTCTATGGGGTGGGAGGCAGCAGGACTCCAGAGGGAAGGGTCTGCTCTTCCCCACCTCCCATGACCAGGGAGCCTGTAGCACAGCTGTAACCTTGACTTGATGGCATTCTCTAGGATGTGATCCCGAGCAGGAGCTGCAGATTGATTTCTGTGTTGATGGTGCTGTCCTCTGTGCTTCACATATAAATGTGGGCATCCAGTAAATATTAGTAAATTACCCAGTGAAGGCCACCACTGCCAAGGGAGCAAAAGCAGATCTGTGGATAGAAGCACCAACACCATGTCAGGCCAGAATGCAAGAGCTACCCACGGGACCCTGGAAACTTTTACTTCCTTCATTCTCAGGGGTGCCTTCAGGTGTTGAGTGAGAACCCAGTCCTAGAGCAGGCTTACTGGGTAGTGCACTGGTCAGAGCTGGGCTCATGGCTGGCTCTGCCATTTACTATGAGGACACATTGGGAAAATTACTGACCGTTCCACACTTAGTTTCCTTATATGTAAAATGGGGAGGAATCTTAGGTTGTTGGAGGATTACGGTATATGCACATGTAAACCATGAGCCCCTGATCTGACCCGCAGTGAGCAGTGTGGTGGCAGCTATTGTTCATGTATGTTATTGAAATTAAACCCTCTGCCCCTGGTTTCTAACAAATTTCAGTTTCTAATCCAGTAAAATTCAAATATGTTGAATCACTGAAATTTGAGTTAAGTCTCTGCTATAGTCTATTAAAACCTTCAGAGAGTTGGTGGAGTTTTTTCTGCCTTTGGCAGAATGTGGGTAGTCTGTAAACAAAAGTACAAGTAAGTAACCTAATTAAACAATACTTTTTACTGCTAGAAGGAGGATCAGAATATAACAAAGGTGAATATATCTTCTCCCAAAGTTTAATTATTTTTTTTAATAAATATTGATTTTTAGAGAGAGAGGAAGGGGGGGAAAGGGAGGTAGATAGATAGATAGATAGATAGATAGAGACATTGATGTGTGAGAACTGAACATTGATTGCCTGCCTCCTGCACTCCCCCTACCTGGGATAGAGCCTGTAACCCGGGCATGTGCCCTGACCAGGTATCAAACCGGCAATCTTTTGGTGCATGGGACAATGCCAACCAACTGAGCCACACTGGCCAAGGCCCAAGTTTCAATTCTTACCTGGTAAAGAGAATGTTACAGTAGGATTGTTAATTTTTTTTAAAAAAATTATAAACAGACAAATATATATAACATACAGACTCTAGTGTCTTGATGATAACTATATCTGTTTCCCTAAGAATCAATTTTCAAAAATTATGATTAAGAACTGCATGATTATATTAAAATTTCTGAAGAAACTAATACTTTATTACTCTTTTCATGTGTTCCTGGGGAATTTGCATGTGTGTGTATATGTGTGTGTGTGTGTGTGTGTGTGTGTGTGTGTGTGTGTATGTGAGATGTTTGAATGTAGTTCATTTTAAACGTTTTAAAATATATTTCTTTTTTTCTTCTTTATTGATTAAGGTATTACATATGTGTCCTTATCCCCCTTATTGCCCCCCACTGCCCCACGCATGTATTTCTTTAAAAATGTTTGTAGAACAATTATAACCATAAGAGTAGAGATGAACTTCTTGGAAGTGATGAAGGTGTTACTGATCCTCACCTCAGGCTAACACTGGCCTTTGTTTGCATTTAGATCCCCAGGTATATCATCACAATTCATGAACTGCTCGCTCATACACCCTATGAGCATGTGGAGAGGAAGAGTCTGGAATTTGCAAAATCAAAACTGGAGGACCTGTCCAGGTGCGCATAGAACCCAGACTAGCAGCCTGTTCCAGGAAAGCAGCAAGTTAGTCTTTGGTGGAAACCTAATTGTATGTCTAGGGAACAAGAGGCAAGACACACAGCTTCTCAGATTCACCCGAAAGTTTAATGATAGCCTTGAGATCAGGTGAACTTTGGATTAAGGTGGAGAATGTTCACATTTCTTTCAGCATAATAAAAAAATGACTTTTTGTTGCATTTTTGTATTCATATTTGCCAGGGAGTTGGAGAATGTATATCTTGGATTTGTCAGTAGCTTTTCAGGGTTTCAGACAGTTATTTATATCTGTGTTCCCTTAGCTTATTTGGGATAAATGGTATAAAGGTTTCTAATTTACTCTGCCTCTAAGAAATGGCACCTTAATTTCAGTATTCATTGAAAGCTTTTCAGAAAATAATATGTTGCTTTCCTGTTGCATTTACCAGTTGCATTTACTCCCTGATCACTGACCCGCTGGTCTGTAGTCACGGTGCACATTGGCCTTGCTTTGGGTCATGGCTTGTTGAGGCCGGGACGTCCAGGCTGCCTCCCTCACAGCCCCACTTACACTGATACAGGCTCCCAGGTGGGGCTCTTTGTGATCCTGTCTGTGTCCTGTCCGACAGGATAATGCACGACGAAGTGAGCGACACTGAAAACATAAGGAAGAACCTTGCCATAGAGAGAATGATTGTGGAGGGCTGTGATATTTTGCTGGACACCAGCCAGACGTTCATCCGCCAAGGTACGTCCTCACGCCGCGCACCCACCATCCGAGTGGTCTCGGCACTTGTTACGTTATCAGATCCAGGAGAGCCTTTGGGAGGGGGCTTGGTTTCACGGTGTGACAAATGCGGCTCCTTTAGGATCTCCCTGTGGTCTTGAGGGAGGCGGTGATCCAGGCCCACCTTCGTGCTGTCTCTTTTCAGGGGCCATGAAAAACAGCAACACACTCCTACTGCCGCAGGCCTGGCCCAGCCCCTTACGTTCTGACCCACTGTCCTCCTCAGTGGGCCAGACGTTCTCTGCAGCTCCAGTCTGTCTGGCCGGTGGGAGTGTCCGTGCCAGGTGGTGACACGCAGGCAGAGGCCCGAGGGAAAGCTGCATTACTGAAAGCCCTTGCAGGTGGCAGTGGGGACAGTGTCCGAAGTGCAAACAGCGGTGTCCTGTTCCCATTTTCCATCAGGACTCCTGGAGGCCCCGCACGCTATGTTCGGAGTCAGCTGGTGGCTCCAGTTACCAGGAAATGCCATGCTGACCCCTGCCAGCCTTTCGAAGTGACAAAGGCAATTTGTTTGTGGGGTGTGCTTTGGTAGCATCACCCCGTAAACTGAGCTTTTTGCAGGGTTCAAGATAGTTGTGCTGGAAACTATGGAGAAAGAAGAGCCTCGCGGTGCATACCTCTCCGCGGCTCTCACCAAGCGCAGAAAGTAAATCACATCCCAGCTTATTTCTAAGAGCTGTGGCGCCCCAGGGAGGGGAGCATGCCTCATGGAAGTGGTGTGAGACAGTGTATTAGACACAGGTATCGTTTTGAACCTGGTGAGGAGCGGCACAGAAATTTGGGACTAGTCTTAAATTTCTGTTTACAAAATGCCAATATTGTTTGAAGATCATTTGCATTTCTGTTGCACACCAAAATGTGCTGCTTAAGCTATTGTTTACCTCATCAAACCAAACATCTGTGCTGTGCACATTAATTTTTTTGCACAGAATACTTCAAAAACATAGTACATGCAGTTCTACTTCCCATTGTTTATTTACAAAGAGAGGAATCACTCAGATGTTAAAGTTTGGAAGTATATTGTAGGAAATGATACCTTTTCTCATTTTGGGCTTTCACTATTAATTTTAAAAAGTAACAATAGTGAAGTATAACACTAACGACACCAGACCTTCTGAACGTCCCCTCTGTTGCTCTGCACAGACTGTGTCCCATATCGGCTCTGGCCTTCCCAGCACTTCCCTGCCTCTGTGTCCTTAGTGTGTTGTCTGCCAGCCTGGCGACCGGGAATGCCCTCACCCCTCTCTTTCGTCTACTTGTCCTACCAGGCTTAGGTCAGACACCTCTAAGTAGCCTTTTTAACATTTCTGCTTCTTCTCGTCACCTCCCATGCAATTAGAATGAATTTACCTTCCTCATCGTGCTCAAGGCCCTTTGCTCCTGGTGCATGTGTCTCAGGCTCTTGCGTATTATAAGTCCATGTCTGCATGCCTGTCTCTCCCAGGAATTAGAATTCTGAAGGTCAATGTCTGTGAATTCTCTCTTGCCTGGTACAATGCTTTCCATGATACCTGGACGATGGGCATGGGGTTAAATGGAAATGCTTGTTCAATTGCAGTGTGGGTTGGAAGGTGTCTTCTTTTGTATTTTTCTTGTGTTTAGAGTTTACTGAAAAATACTAATTGGCTTGAGCTTTATAATGTGTGGAAATGAAAACAAGAATTTCTCTTGTTTATTTCTATTATTTCTCTGATTTCTGAAAGGAATTTTAATTGCAAAGCATGATTATACATAACCATTTAGAATATTTGTACAAACTTAGACTATTTTTACCTAAGTTTGTGAAAAACATCTATAATGAAAACTGCCCGAAGGTTAAATATGTTGATTAAATCATTTTTTTTTTTATGGCGCCTGGAAGAAAATCAATCATGAGCCACCTCTCCCTTTGACTCAAGTCCAGATGTTATTTATCGATTGTTCTGTGTCACACGTTTAAGGCACTCCTGTCAGCTATTAATATACTTGATGTTGTTATTGTGTTGATGTTGATCCATTGATTTGTCTTTCAGCAGTGTTTTTCTGAGTTGTTTGGTTTGGTTTGTCTGTTTAGGAATTATCTAATAAAGGTGCTTTTAAAAAGTCAGACCCTAATCTGAAAGTAGGAAGTAATTGAATTACAGATAGTCTGGGACATTTGCATTGTTTTGGTTTGGTTGTGTCAGTTATCTCCTCTGGCTTTGATTCCATCCTGAAGTCCCATGAGTACAACCTTTTTGCTGCAAATACTTGCTCATCTACTTCTCTAAGCATTCTGCCTTGAGCTTTCCCCATCCCTTCTTTATGCTTGAAATTTAATTACTGACTCTGTTCTTTGCCAATTTGCTCCCATCTTTGCCACCTCTCTCATTCACTCTCCTCTTGCCTGTTCCCTTCAATGGAATCAAGCCTTCCTTCACCTACTGCTCCCCAGTCCCATGCCCTCCCCAGGATGGTTTCCATGCTATTTTTGAGGCCCCAATAGCTGCCTACTCTCTTTGTCAAACAGCCTCACCTAATACTCACCTAAACAGATAAAATCTGGGCATGGAAGCTTTGAGCCTTTTACCACCTGTACACCTTTAGATCTTTATTAAACATGTTTTTTTTTTAAAAAAAAAAATTATTGATTTTTTACAAGAGGAAGAGAGAAGGATAGAGAGTTAGAAACATCGATGAGAGAGAATCATCTGGGGATGTGCCCGCAACCAAGGTACATGCCCTTGACCGGAATCGAACCTGGGACCCTTCAGTCTGCAGGCCGACGCTTTATCCACTGAACCAAACCGGTTTTGGCCTAGATCTTTATTAAAAAGTAGAGAAAGAATTTAACATATCAATGGGTTTTATAGGGAGGGTGGTGCCACCTGATTGGTTGGGTTAGGGCTAGGGTCCAGTTACCAGGAGCTGGCCCCGCCCCGCCCTGCCCTCTCACCCCACCCTGCCCTCTCACCCCACCCTGCCCTCTCACCCTGCCCTCTCAGATGCTATTTGGAATATTCATATGTTAATATGAAGATTTTGTGACCCACAATCATAGTTTTACAATTTTGTATCTTTGAAGAATTTACTGTTTTTCTGTTCATTTTATTCTGTGCTCATTAAAAAAAATATAATGGAACCTAAAAACTATGAAAAAGAAAATAGGGCTGCCTGCAACCTACCTTACCTCTTAGAGATGACCCACTATTAATATTTAAAGGGTCAGGATGCACTGAATGGTTCTCAAGAGGCTGATCTGAAACTTTCTAAGGCTGCACTTTGGGTAAATTATAGATTAAACCAATAATAGAAATAACACTGGCTCAGGCCATTTCAGAAGTCAGAGGCAAGGTATTTGCACAAATCTTAATGTTTTGGGGTTTCATATTTAATTTATGTTGGAATTTTATTTGTGGGGAGAGGAAGGTCATCATTAGGGTGAGATTATATAAAGGCTTTGTAGCACTTCTTACATGGAATGGAAGAGAGTTTTGCTCACAAGAATGCCCTGGGTATAGACTTTATATGGGAGGAGGATATGGTGGGAGATTGGTTGGCTGACCTTCCTGAATCAGGGCCCAATCAGGGCCAGGCAGGCTGGGGGGAGGGGCCACAGGTGATTGGCCAGTGGGCGGCCCTGCCCCCAATTGAGGTGGGGGGCCGACTGGAGGTGGGAACATCCATGAAGAGGGGCTGTGGGCTGGCTGGCTCCACCCACTATTGGGGCGATGGGTGTGATCAGGGGCAGGACGGGCTGGGGAGAGGGGCTGTGGTCCAATGGGGTGGTGGGGGCCCATCAGGGGCAGGGCCTGCCAGGGGAAAGGGTTGAGGGGGGCCAGTGTTGGTTGGCTGCCCTGCCCTTGATCGAGGTGGGAAAGTCTGATTAGGGTGGGGCCGGCTGGCAGGAGGAGCCACAGGAAATTGGCCAGCTGGCCCCGCCCCCAATCAGGCCCCACCCCCGATGGAGCTGGTTCGGGGCCGCAGTGGGTGTTCTGGTAGCTGGCTTTTTATATATATAGATGCGACTATACAATATGTATCTTACTGTTAAATTAATCAGTTGATTGAGATCCAATCCTCATTCTTTGAATTCAGTTTGGCTTTCTTTCAAACTTATTTTCCCACTTAGAGATGAGTAATCAAATTTAAAGTGTTTTATAAAAATAGTAGGAATTAGTATGACTCTTAGAAACACAATATATGGTTTCTTCTGCTCAGAATGTAGGGAATTTACTTGTTCCAATGGTGTATCCAGTGAATCATTGGTGTTTATTGCATCAGGAAGGGCTCTCACTCCACAGAATTTTAATTGCTGTGTATTCTCCACTTTCCTGATCACCAGGTTCTCTTATTCAAGTACCTTCGGTGGAGAAGGGGAAACTTAGTAAAGTTCGCCTGGGTTCATTGTCTTTGAAAAAGGAAGGAGAAAGACAATGCTTCTTATTTACAAAACACTTTTTAATTTGCACAAGAAGTTCAGGAGGAAAGCTGCATCTGCTCAAGGTACTGGTTTTACATTATTTATGTTTCAAGAGACATTCAGGTTAATTTAATTGTGACTTTCCAAATGCCTGGTATCACAAAACATTATCCCAATTGAAAAGTGAGGCAATGTACAGTTACCACCCTTGACATTCACTATGTTGTCACTTGGGTCTACAGGAATAGAAATGTAAATGTGCATTACCATTAGGAAGTGCAATTAACATCCTACCTTGGACAAAATTATTACTAGTTGATGACTACTGAGCTATACCAATCTTGTCAAATTATTACGGTGCCTATTTTTGTTAATAAAGTTTTATTGAACACAGCCATAGTCACTTGTTCACATTTTATGTGTCTGCTTTCATGCTTCTTACAATGGCAGATTTGAGTAGCTGCAGTAGAAATCAGATGGCTTGCAAAACCTCAAAGATTTGCTTTCTGGCCCTTGACAGGAATGATTTGCCTATCTATACCTTCTGTTATTAGTGCCTGGAAATATTGGCTTTCTACTGCTCCGTCACCTCCTGGTTAATGAGCTCAACCTTTGCTGAGCTGCACTCTCAAGGGCCCCTAAGAGCCATCTAGTTTGCCATAGACTGGCTTGCTAAATTTTGTAAACATTGGGAGTGAGAGTGGTTTGGGGAGAAGAATCATGAGGTTAAATGAGCTCAGTTGTTTTTACACATGTAAATTTCATTTTGGAATGCATATAAATGTATTTATGATGTAGAATTGTTATGCTTTCTGCTGTGGCAACTTGAGTATAAGATTTGCAAATCAGAGCTTCTGAACCTCTGCATGATTCTCAAGTCTCTTAATGGAAAACTGGCTCTTTCCAGACAGGTGGGGTTCTCTCTCTAATAGAATGTACCTTGATTGAGGAGTCAGACGCAAGCGATGATGACTGTAAGTCACATTCTATCACTTAGAATTACATTAGAATTAAGCATTCCTATGTTTTTTTTATTTTTTATAGCTAAGAAAAGCTAACTAAGGAGGCAGTAGAGATGCTGAGAATAAACTCCCTGAAGTCATTTCTATATGAAAAATTCTGTTGAACCATCTAACCTGTAAACCTTGTTAAACCATCTTTGGGAATTCACATTTTACCAAATTTGTCTCACAATAATGATTTTCAGTGTTAGGCAGAAAAGAAAGGGATTATAGCAGAGCTTTAGAACTCTGTAGATTATGGAAATTAAAACACAAAACAAAACAAACCATGAAATGAGAAGGAGCCCGGGATTGTAGCCCCGAGTAACCTACTGATCTCAGCCTTTTACCTGCTTATGAGCGTAGCAAAGCCTCCCCCATACTGGAGAGGTGCCATATCATTGCAATGAGATTCTGGGCTTGGACACTGATCGTATTAATATTACTAGAACTACGTGGAAGCAGCTGTTACTCAGATTTTGCATTCACACCTAATTGTTTGGTTTATGTGTGTTGAAGCCAAAGGTTCTGGGCAAGTGTTTGGACACCTGGATTTTAAAATAGTGGTGGAGCCTCCTGGTGCCGCCCCTTTCACTGTAGTCTTGCTAGCACCTTCACGCCAGGAGAAAGCTGCCTGGATGAGTGACATTAGTCAGGTAAGCAAGTGGCTTTTGCCATAGTTTATTTTCTTGTTTTGGTTTTACGTTTCACAACATTAACTCCTGGAGAGGAATTTTTTTAGAGTTAATTTATTTTTATTTTAAAAACGCATCTAGTTGCTGTGTATTACCACTATGTATCTTGATATGCTAGAATCATTCATTGTTTGTTTTTGTTTGTTTTTCTTGTTATGGTTAAAATTTACACGAAATGTACCAATTACATTTTTAGTTCCTGGGCATTTTGTACAATTTTTAAATGTAATCACTAGTGTTGAATGCAGTTAAAATATCCCTGTTAGTAATACATTCTCTAGTAACCCAGGGAATTTTTTTTTCCTTATTTGTTTCTGAAGTAGGAAAATGGTGAGAAATACAAAATCAACTAACAAGGGCTATGGTGAGGGATCACAAAGGAAGGAATTGCATCAGACAAGAGATACTGTATGTAGTGTAAAATCTGAAAATGAGCTCCTGTATTTCATATGGAACATAATAGGAATCAAATTTGCTATTTTTTCCTTTATCAGCAGTATCCAGTTAGAGAATTGTTGTATTTATTCAGGGCTTCTAAAAATGTTAAAATTAGTCATGATTGTGCTGATGAGGATGTGGAGAAAGGGAACCCTCGTAAACTGCTGGTGGGGATCCAGGATGGTGTAACCACTACGGAGTTTCCTCAAAAAGTTAAATATGGCACTGCCTTTTGACCCAATGATCCTACTTCTAGGAATATATCCTAAGAAACCCAAAGCACCAATGAGAAAGAATGTATGCACTGCTAAGTTCATAGCAGCACAATTTACAATAGCTAAGATCTGGAAACAGCCCAAGTGCCCATCAGGAGATGAGTGGATTAGAAAACTGTGGTACATTTATACCATGGAACACTATGCAGCAGTGAAAAAAAAAGAATCTCTTACCCTTTGAGACAGCATGGAGGGATCTGGAGAGTATTATTCTAAGTGAAATAAGCCAGTCAGAGAAAGACAAGTATCACATGATCTCACTTATATGTGGAATCTAATGAACAAAATAAACAGTTGAACAAAATAGAACTAGAGACATAGAAGCATGGAACAGACTGTCAAATCTTAGGGGGAAGGCAGAGGTGAGTTGGTGGGTGGGTGGGAAGAGATCAACCAAAGAACTTGTATGCATATATGCATAACCCATGGATACAGAAAATAGGGTGGTGGAAGCCTGAAGTGGGGGCTGGGTGGGCTATCATGGGGTAATGGGGGGAAAAAGGGGACATATGTAATACTTTCAACAATAAAGACTTTAAAAAATTAGTCAGGATTGGACTTGGGCATTTTTTTTTTTTACCCAAGCTCTTCACTCTATTAACCAATACAGGAGAAAAATTTTGTATAAGAAAAATATTAAAAGAAGGCTTGATAATTATCTTTAAAGTTGTTAACTCAAGGAGGATTGGGTAAATGGAAAAGATATATACTACAGATTCTTTAGCCTCTTTTTTTATGAAAAGTATTTATTATATAAGACTTAAAGTAAAAATCTGAATTATACAATAGTTCTTTAACTGCTTTTTTTTCTGAGTAACTGAAAACTGAGGGAAAATAGAAAGAGAATAAATGTGAAAAATAATTATTTTTATACATCAAAGAAATTTTTCAGATTTAGTCTCATTTGAGCCTTACAGTAGTATACTGAAAGTCAACAGCAATATTATTCCCATTTCACAGGTGAGAAACCTGAGATTTGGAAGGCTAAAGTTTGTCCAAAGTTATATAACTGAATTGAGTCAGGACTCAAATCTAATCCAGGTCTTTTATTAGCACTCTCAACATTCTTTATGGAAATGATGGACTTTTACTTATACACACCCACGACTACTTTGATGGTGAATAGCTAGAAGTGAAGGTACTTCTTTTTTGGCTAACGAAGGAATAAAAATGTGGGATCTTCTAGATTTGCATAATTCCATCTTTGTGGTGATTTATTAGAGCTTTAGTTAACTCTATGTTCTATTAATACTTTAGTTTCTGTTTGTAATGCATCTCTGACCTCAAAGCACTCTGAATCATTCACTGATTCCGTGACTGTTGATCGTGCGATCACCATGTGCTGCCAGGTGTTGTGTAGGTGCCATGCTGTCAAGAAGACAGGCAGGCTAGTAAGGAACAAAAGGAAGTAGACAACTTAATGCAACAAAACTTTGTGAGTGGTAAGAAGCCAAGGTGAGTGGGAAGAGTGGGGAGAATAGCAGTAGGCAAAGGTGTTTTTCTAGTTCCTTCAAGCTTCTAGCTCGGATGTACCTGAGGCTCCTACAGTACACAATTGATAATAGCTTCAAGTGACCCTAGGGTGCACAATGAGGCATTATCAAAAGAGAAGGGTCCTTGGGATGCGTGAATGGTTCTTTAAAGATAGGTACTCAATGCTTTGGCTTCCACAAGCATTCAAGTGGGACTCTTCAATACATCTTGTGGCAGAAATGTACAAGTTCCTCCTATTTCTCCAATTTGCTATGATTAGGATGTTAAATTACATTTGAATACATTTACAAATATGGAGAAGGACACTAACAGAAAGTTATATCTTTCTGAGGGATGATAACATCATTAAGTGAAATTACTTTATTTAGGAGAGCCTTGATATTATGTGGCTCTAACAATTAGGATGGCACTCATTCACCAAATAAATTTATTCAGTGATGCTATATGTCAGCCACTGTTTAGGTAGTTGTGATGTATCATGAACAAAAGAGTCAATGATGACAAACAATTCCCCTGCTTGTGTAGCTTATATTCTAGTATAGGGAAGACTGAAAATGTAAACATAATGAATAACTACACGCTATTTTTATTTTTTAAAATGTTTTTATTGATTTCAGATTGGAAGGGAGAGGGAGAGAGAGATAGAAACATCAATGATGAGAGAAAATCATTGATTGGCTAATTACTGCACACCCCCTTCTGGGGATCGAGCCCGCAATCAGAATCAAACCCAGGACCCTTCAGTCCGCAGGCTGATGCCCTATCCACTGAGCCAAACCAGCTAGAGCTACACACTGTTTATGTTAGAGGGTGATTGGGCAGGGTAAGATTGGGCTACTGGGGCTGTGTGGGTTGATATAGTTTTTCAATCGTCATCATCTCATTCTGAAGATGACATTTAACAACTTTTGCCGGTGATAGAAGTAACATGTAGGTAAGTGGTGAAGGGAAAGTCATTCTACACAGAGGGAGTAGCCATTTCAAAAGCTCCAGACCAGGAGGACGCTGCATATATTGAGTAATACCATGAAAGTCAGCGTGGCTGAGTAGAATGTCAGCGAGGGGAAAAGAAACAAAAGAAGTTAAGTGGAGTTGTTAAGTAAGCCATGGGACATAGGCGTTCAGTGTTTAGGTCCAGGCTCTGCCATGTAGGTGATATTTCAGGCTGCGAAACTGTTGAGATCACGCAGGGAGTAACTAGATAGAAACGAGAAGAGGTCCATGGCTCCCATGAGGGATCAGGGAGAACGGCAAAGAGGACTAAGAAGGAACCCCCAGTGCAGTCGGAGGAGAGCTATGAGAGCATGCTGTCCTGGAAGTCAACGAATAAAATATATCCAGGAGGGAGTGGTCACTTGTCAATTGCTACTAATGAGTGTCCTGTGCTACTCGGTGATCTTCCTGGTGTGGGGTTTGAATGGTGAGTGTAGGGAAGCAGTGCTCCCCTGCTGACTGAGCCTGGCCTCCTGCCTAGCAGCCTGCACCTCAGCTGGCTTTGCTCTCTGGGTAAAGCGCTTTCATTTTTTGGGAGAAATTATGTACTATACATACATTGATGGAATTTATCAGTCTCCCAAGTATGTCTCTGGACATATTCATTATTAATAAGTTGAATCTATTGAATGCTTAAAATGTACTGTTTAATATTTTATGATGTACTAGTACGTGTAAAAATATGGGCACAGAAGGGAACTAAAAACTACTTCCAATACCCAGAACACTAAGTAAATATTTATCGAAGTATTGCCCCTGATGACTCTGTTAGAGTTTCCTGGGGGCTTTTTAAAAATGCAGATTCCTGAACCCTCATTCCAGATACCCTAAAGGTTTAACAAGCTCCAAGATCCTTTTAGTACAATTAAATCAGAAAACCTTTACCCTGAAAATCAGCTGTTTCTATCTCTAAATCCTCCAGTCTGGCTATAGGGAAATAATTTTACAGTTTGGCTCTCGATGTATGATATACATATACATCTTTCTATAGATATGCAAATTCTTCACATTGGTATCTTCTAATATATATGTCTCTCTCTCTCTCTATATATATATATATGTATGCATTAGAATATGTATTTATATATAGGTATATTCTACCACATTAATGTACCACTTTTTTAGTTTTTTTCAAATATTAGGCATATCATATGGGCAGTTTCCTGGTTTTAGTATTATTATATGCCATGGTGCTAAATATCTTTGAAAGAGTTTTTTCCCTTTCAAGATTCCTGGCTGTGTATCTTTCCCACAGTAGGTGAGGCTGGTACAGGCATCTGATCACTTTCATGATTTCATAATTCATGACTCGACAGACTACCAAAATGTTTCAAGAAGTACAGAACTCTTCATTTCACTACATCATCAGTAAGGAATCTATGGTAGCTTTCTTTTAAGTCCTGCTACATATTTGTCACAATTTATCATATTTTCCTATTTAATGGAAAAAGCAATATTGCTTCCTACTTGTTTTAGTTTACATGTATGTAATTATTAAGGAGATGAACATTTCCCACTATTTCTATTTCTCGTCCTTTCATGCCGGATGGATATTTATTCATCTTAGCTCTTCTTGAGAGTAGAGAAATGAACATTTTTCTTTCAATTCCTATTACGACTATGTTTTCTATTATTTTGTCTTTTTATTTGTCATCCTTTATTTTGCTAAATCTTAATATCTTTGTGACTTGATTTTAAGTCACTGTGCCAATCTATCATGTTACATTAAGCACACATTTTTAGATAATCAAGTGGCTCCAGAGTATTGACACTATCCCAGTTTCACACAAAGCACTCTGTTCAAAGCTGTGGGCTAAGTCAGGCCCGCCTCTGAAGCTGTGATTTTTAGAAGTTACAATTGCTTCTATGATTAATTGCACTTTTAGCTACACCAGTAAGGCCATTATTAACCCCTGGCACCTCCAACAAAACTCACAAGTGGCTAATGGTCTTGACCAATAATTATTCCCTTTTTCATCTATTTATAGAAAGAAAAAACCCACAAAACTTGAGACTGGAGATTTGACCATTCATTTTAAGATAGTACATTCATTTGTGCTTGTCTTACTATCATACAATAATGGTGTCTTAAACACATCTTTCTATAATTATAGGTATTAACTGAAATGCAGAATTAAAATTCACCTCTGAGCTTCTCGATTTGGGCAGATGTGTCAAAATATAGAGCTGTTTAGACTAATTTGTAGCATGCTGACATGCTTCCCCCCCCCCCCCCTTAAAATAGTTTCTCTGGAATCAATAGAGAATTTTCTATTTTAACAAAAAGGTTAATTAAAAAAGAAAAACTTAATCTAACCTTTCTTCCCTTTATCTAGATGTATTAAGAAGGTTAAAAAAAAAACATCATGACATAGTAGACTACTGACCTTTGAATAGGTATTGCTTGAAGCAAGCCCCTCAAAAACTCCACTGAAGAAGTCAGTGTCAAGGACCAGCTTCGTCACAATTACCTGGGGCTTTTGTGAATACACATATTTCCAGCCCTGGCCTACTTATCATCATCACTGCTGAACTAGTGTATCCATGGCCAAGGAATCTGCTCTTTTTATCCTCATAATTTCAAAGTTTACTGTAGTTCACATAGGTTCAACGTTGCCCTTCAAGATAAGTGACACTTCGCTTATTTTCATATATCTCTTGAACAAATGAATTGAGTTCATTTTCTCAAGGCACAAATACTTCTCCCCAACACTGCCAAATACATGCTTATGTGATCATGAGTATTTACCACTCCTTCCAATGAAAACATTTGCTCACGTGTGCAGGTGCGCGTGCTCGTGCACACACACACACACACACACACACACGTGTGTACAAGCTTTTTGAAAGTTCATGTTACATTACTTTGCTTTTACAAAAGACCTATATTCTTTCAAGGTGCTATAGTGTAAGGAAGTAAGTTGAAGAGGACTTAAAAATATTCAATTTTATTTCCAGAGTTGGCATCCTCTGTACGTTGGTCATTGAAATAATGGCATAAGATGTGAAGAAACAATTTTTTAAAGGAAAAACCAGATAAGAATATGGCTGATAGACTAAGTGGACTGAATAGTCAAGTGATGTTAGTGATCTGTAGTTTCTTAAATGCATATCCACACTTTCATTAGATGTTGGAGTTTAGGGTGAACTCTGAGTTGAGAATCTAAGTGAAGTCACTTGGCAGTCAGCTTCTCCATACCATTTAATTGTAGTCCTCCACTGAGTGGCCAGATTATTATGATCTCTAAACACATAATAATCTGGCCACTCAGTGTATAACCTATATAATAAAAGGCTAATATGCAAATTGTCCCCTCAATCAGGAGTTTGACTGACCAGCAAGCAGGCCAGCCAACTGCCCATGTCCTCTCACTCTGGCCAGGCTGGCCAGATCCCACCCATGCATGAATTCATGCACCGGGCCTCTAATATATATACATACATACACTGATTGGACAGATTATTATGCGTTTATTATTGTGCGCATGCACACGTGTGTGTGTGTGTGTGTGTGTGTGTGTGTGTGAGAGAGAGAGAGAGAGAGAGAGAGAGAGAGAGAGAGAGAGAGAGCGAGCGCGGGAGGGAGGGAGAGAGAGATGAGAAACTAAGTTGTTTTGTGACTATAAACAATTCTGGGAATATATGATCTGCCTAGGTTTTCATGTGGGTTGTAATTGTTTATTTTTTAATTTCACAGTGTGTGGACAATATACGGTGTAATGGTTTAATGACTATAGTGTTTGAAGAGAATTCCAAAGTCACTGTGCCACATATGATTAAGTAAGTGGTGTAATACTTTCCTTTGCATTTTAATCAAGATCAAACTGGTAGAGAATGTGAAACCATGAATAAAATATTGCTTTAGTAGCATTCTGCTTCATATTGTGAATGTTTCTTGACAGCAATATGATAATTCATGACATGCTAATATAAATAAGACTATCAAAATGGTTTTTCAGATGTATAGTTTATTGACTCACAGAATAGAAACATTGTTTTTCCTACTGTGACATATGCCTTCACTCAGGAAAACTTACTGAGATTTTCAAGTTCAGTGTAAGAAGTCGCGACAGCCAGATGTGTCCAAGGTCAGAGGTTGGCAGATGCTTTTGGTGTCTTCCCAGTGGGTATAAATCTTATCACTCAGGTTTGGTTATAGAAGTATGTTTAGGTTTTGAAAACACCTAATATGAATCATCTGGCTGTTCCATGGTACCATCTACCCACTGCCTGTACCTGGATTTGTCCTAGAGGCTATTTCCCAGAGCTGCCAGCCTGCTCTCTGTTTTCTTAACAGAGTAAGTCCTATAATTTCAAGTGATCAAGAGGGAAACTGTCATTTAAAAAGAGAAACTATATCAATAGCTATGTGCCATAGCTCTCTGTATTAATGCTTTCACCTCTATGTACATTTTTATTTCTAAATTCAGAAATTGATTTGGGAATATTCTGTAGTTTACCAATTTGTTGATCTCATTCTTTTGGGTATTTTCATTCCAAATTCTAAGAATAAAACTTGTTTATAAAAGCAGTTGTTATATATTTTTAAAATTTAAAAATGTTTGCCTTCTATCCCCTTTTTGTGGACTCTGTTGGGGTCTGAGCTATTTTTGCTAAGGCAATGAATAACATTAACTTTCCTCTCATAGGTAGTAGCTATAATTAGCATGATTCTAATGGTAAAAGTTTTAAAACATTAAATATTGTGTTAGATGGAGGCAAGTACATTATACTAATGTCATAATTACTATAGAAAAATGATGAAAGAATGATAGTATTTTGAATTACTAGTTAAATTTAAAGATATTTGCGGTAGGATTATATTTTTTTAAATATATATTTTATTGATTTTTTACAGAGAGGAAGAGAGAGGGATAGAGAGTTATAAACATCGATGAGAGAGAATCATCAATCAGCTGCCTCTTGCACACCTCCTACTGGAGATGTGCCCGCAACTAAAGTACATTTCCTTGACCGGAATCAAACCTGGGACCTTTCAATCCACAGGCCGACACTCTATCCACTGAGTCAAACCGGTCTCAGCTGCGGTAGGATTATTTTTAAACTCTAGGGCAAAGATTCCTTTAGTGTTCAGTTTTCAAAGTTTCTATTTTAGTATAGTCTTTTTAGAACTAGATTAGTTAAAAATATGTGATGCTAAGATTAAAACCAAGAATGAATTATTAAGTCAAAAGGTCCATATAATGACTTAGTTTTACAATTCACATTATTGGGTTAGAATTTTATTATTCATTTTCTACTTATAGGATTCCTACTTTTGCAATTCACAATATATTATCTACCATTGTTATTTGTTTAAAAAGTACTCTCTTGAAGGTTAGACAGTCATGACAGTCCAAACTGCTTTAGAATGAGATGATGTAAGTTAGACTTGGTAGCCTCCACCGCAGGGCAGTTGCATACCCACAACTTACATATCTTGTTGACTTGAAAAAATTAATACAGATAAAACTTCAGTGTTGCATCTGACCGGTTATGACTGGTACCCAAAAACATTTTCTGTCCCCTGTGAAGGTAGTTTGGCCAGCGTCCATGTCCAAGCTTGTTTGTGTAACTGCCTCCCATACAGATCAAGACCTTCCTGCCTTTTGGGTACAGAGGTGACGCTTGAACGAGGAGGAACCGATCTCCTCTAAGAACAGAAAGCTGTATCTTGAGCTGGGATTTTCTGACAGTCACACATATTCTGATGCCATCTATACTATACTGGAATTATACCCAAGGCAGTTTCATGTATTTCACTCTTCTATTTTCCCCTCCCTCATTGAGCCTGGTTCTCCTCAATCAGAAAAGGGGGATTTTGTAATTTCTATTCCTTATGATAGTCTCCTCCATGCCCCTCTTTTACCCTAAATCCTGTATTCTGGCCTCCCTGTGCATCTCCTTGGCAGTATACTGCGGGGGGGGGGGGGGGGGGGGGTAAGGAGGTTAAGAATGAAATTTTTCAGAGTTGAAAAAGTTATCCTATCTTAATTGTGTCTTGTTAATGACATGACATCACTTTGCAGGCATTCACTTCCTTTGAAAACTTCCTAATTATAATAGGTGATATGAGTTTGATGTTTTAAGATTCAGTTTAAGTGTTTACAAAAAAGGAGTTATTATCATAAAAGGAGTTATTATCATAAGTAACAGCATTATATCGTTCTTGGGAGTCCCTTAGGAAATAAAGACCTTGTTTGGTGTAATAAAAGAAAATTAAATAATTTCATAATATTTAATTTATTTTTTTTACTTAAAATGAATGTGATTACAATTTTGAAGGACAGTGATGTAATTAGTCAGTTTTATTTTAATTTCGTGTTGGTTGCAACATATTTTTTCCTCCTAGTGTTTTGATTAAAGTAATTATAGTCAAAAGTGGCAAATCTGCCTAGCCAGTGTAGCTCAGCAGCTGAGCATAGACGCAGAACCCAAGATTCTTTCCCAGGGCACATGTCTGGGTTTCAGGCTCCATCCCCTGTGGAGGGCTTGCAGGTGGTAGCGGATCAATGATGTTTCTCTCTCATTAATGTTTCCATTTCTCTATCCTTCACTCTTCCTCTATCTCTAAAAAAATCAATAGAAACATATTTTTTAAAAAGATACAAATCTCATGGTACAATTAAAATGCAAAATCGTGACACTAATGAGGTGAAAATATCTCTTTAAGTGGTATTTTACATTTCATATATATAAGTTGAGGTTTGCTTTCCTTTAATAATAGTTAACCTCAACTTTCCTAGAAAACAGAGTTCATTGGTGGAAAATGGTGGGAGAAAAAGTGAATACCTCAGTCGGGCATCTTTACTAGTAGACAGATTCACAAAAGTTTCTAAGGTCTTTTTCACAGGTGAGGAAATGGAGAACCAGGAAAGTATAGTTGGATGAGGGTCACATAGTGAGTGGAAAAAGAGACATGCAGTTTTCAAGAATCCCCAAAGGTGTGCTTGTGCATTTTCAATATCAGTAACGAGACTAAAACTAGCAGCCAGCCCACCCTCAGTCGATCCCTCAGCAGGGCTGAGCCGCTCATTTAAAATGCCATTTCAGGCCTCAAAGGAAATCCTTCCGCCTGCACTGAGCTTACTTTGGGGTGGGAAGCTTCCAAGAGCAAGCTAAGAAAGCTATCGATTCCTTTTCATCCCAGAGAAAATAAATATATAATTTGAAACCCCTCCAAGTGCTGAAAGGGATAATTAAGGGCACTCACACAACAAGCCAACTGATTCTTAGCAAGCAATTACCCCATTGAACATCACCGGCCCTGTAGCATATCTTTTAATCAAGTGGTGAAACCCAGGGCTCATTGACTGCCTTCTCTGAGATGCTGCAAGGAAAGGGAACAAAGGCTCTCAGGGGGGAATGTGCAAGCTCAGGGCAGTCCTGGCAAAGATGGGCATTTCTCTGAGCCTCATGCGGATTCAACCTCTGCTTCGAAGTCTTTCATCTTATCAACGTTGCTGCTCCGAGGGCCTCTTTTGCCCTTTTTGCAAATGCACACCACGGGCTGGGGGCTCTGAGCGAGGCAGAGGGTCTTGAGGACTGCTGTGAGTCCTCTCCTCAGTCTGCTCTCCATCGGCTCCCAGGGGGTCAGTCCATCAGGTTAAGGAGGGAAGTTTCATAGAATGAGAAGGACGGAGCCTCGCAGCCACCTTTGCCAGGGCTCACAGCCTGTGTTTCACCCATTACTTCTCTTATTGAAGTAAAGTTGGTTCATGACATTATATTAGTCTCAGGTATACGTTACAATTTAAGATTTGTACACACTACAAAGCAATGCACCGTAAGTCTAGTTGCTACACATCACCGCACAATTGACCCCCTTTGCCCATTTTACTTTTTAAAAAAATGAGGACATGCTGAATACTGCAAAATATTAGAAAGAAGGCCTTTTACACAACTTAAAGATTAAATTATACTCATAAGATGGATAGCCTTAAATGCAGTAATAATCCAGGAAGAATGGAGTGAACTAAGTGTTCAGTTTAGGATGTTAAAGAAAGAATGACAAAATAAACTATACGGAAAGTGTAGGGAGGAAATAAGATAAGAACAGACATTAGTAAATTAAAACATAGAAAAATAGTAGAATTGGTAAAGAGCCAGTTCTAGAGGGGAAAATTCCTTATATTATCATCTATTAGTCAGTCTAGTCAAGAAATAAGGGGAAGCACAAATGCACTAAAGTAGAAGTGAGAAAAAAAAAATAACCACAGAAATAGCAGTGTTATCTGTCTCTTCCCCTCTCCTCACCCCTCTTTGGGGAGAATGTCATCCATTAGTTTTTAAGGGCATTTCTGATATTCTGATTTAAAGGCTGTTGGCCTCATTTCTTAAAAAAAAAAAAAAAATATATATATATATATATATATATATATATATATATATATATATATATTATTGATTTTTTTTACAGAGAGGAAGGGAGAGGGATAGAGAGCCAGAAAATCAATTAGCTGCCTCTTGCACACCCGGACAGGGGATGTGCCTGCAACCAAGGTACATGCCCTTGACCGGAATCGAACCTGGGACCCTTCAGTCTGTAGGCTGACGCTCTATCCACTGAGCCAAACCAGTTTCGGCTTGGCCTCATTTCTTAACATGATTGAACTAGAGAGAGAAGGGAAGGGTAGCAGATCATGTCACCTCAAAATATGGCACTTTGTCATATTGATTATTTTGAGCAATAGGAACTTGAAAAACAGCTAATGCCAGAAAAGGCTTTCTCTAAAATCCCTTTATCTGCCTAGAGACAGATTCTCCAAAAGGTACTTAATTGTCAAAAATTCCTTCCCAGGGATTTTCACCAAGCAGAGAGGATTCACCTTATCACAGGAGAGGAGACTAGACGTCAATACCACTCCCAGATGCACTGCCACACACTATTTTATCTTCCATCTTCCCCCCCACCCCATTCATCTTCCCCCGAATCATTTACTCTTCGTTAAGTGGCTGCCATTCCTCCTCCCCTTCCCCTGTTCAAATGGTGTTTCATCCTAAATCTAAGCCACCTCGGAGAGTTACTCATTTCTTCTTGGGTAATTCCCATGTATCCATGTTAATAACATGGTTTGTTTTTCTCTTGCTAATCTGTCCAGTATTATTATTTTTTAAAAAATATATATATATATTATTGATTTTTTTACAGAGGGGAAAGGAGAGGGATAGAGAACTAGAAACATCGATGAGAGAGAAACATCAGCCAGCTGCCTCCTGCACAGCCCTTGACCGGAACTGAACCCGGGACCTTCCAGTCCGCAGGCAGATGCTCTATCCAGTGAGCCAAACCAGTTCTGGCTAATCTGTCCATTATTATAGGGGTCTCAGCCAAGAACTCAAAAGGGCAGAGGGAAATTATTTTTCCTCCCCCTGCAAAAGGAATCCACAACATGAGCGATTATTATCTTCTCCACAATCCGTTCTGACCTTCCTACATGATAACGGCATAGCTGTTGTTTTCATAGCCCTGCCTTGTTTTATGTAATGTGTCATATCAACATCTTTTAGCGAATGCGGTGGGAGGCCCATACCCAAGGGGGTGCTTACCAGCGCATAGATACGCTGTGGTCGAGAGGCACGTGCCCTGGGTTTGTTCTCATGGTCCTGCTCTGTGCGCAGGTCTGATGCTCGTCTTCACAAAGATGACACTGACATTTGCTTCAGTAAAACCCTCAACTCCTGCAAAGTGCCCCAGATCCGTTACGCCAGTGTGGAGCGCCTCTTGGAGCGGCTGACCGACTTGCGGTTCCTCAGTATCGACTTCCTCAACACCTTTCTGCACACCTATCGTATCTTCACAACGGCAGCCCAGGTGCTGGCGAAGCTTGCCGACATATACAAGAAGCCTTTTACCTCCATCCCCGTCAGGTAGGCCCCGGGCTTTGCCTCCCACAAAAGTGTGGCCTCCTGGTTCCTGCGTCTCCTGCAGGTGAGCTGCCCAGCTCTGCAGAGCTGCACTGAGGGTACTGTCTCGCCTTCGAACAGTAGAAGGCGGGTGAGTAGAGGTCTCAGATAGGTCTCAAGGGACGAATGTGAGAATCCTAAGTGGCCTTTGCTTGCTCTGTGCTTACTTGGAAGCTAACTCCATTGTTTGAGGCTTTTCTATTTTATTTTATTGTTTTTACAGTTGTATTTTTCAAACTTGAATATGCACAAACTTTAATAGGTTGCTAAATTGCAGGCTCTGATTGCAGGTCTGGAGGGGAGCCTGAGTCTGCATTTCTAAAAGCTGCCCGGAGACACTAATGCCCCTTGTCTTCGGACCACAGCTTAGTAGCTGGGGATTAGACATGGCCTGCAAAGTGTCTGCGTTCCTTTAGCAAGTGTGTGGAACACAGGCGGCCTTGACATGAAGGACGTGCAATGATATTGTGGCCTTTTAATGCCGGGTTCATGTTCTTAAATGACGCCGGGGGATCATTTTCACTCGGCCACAATCTGTTAATGGCTTTTGCTCATATTTCCAGGTCACTGGAATTGTTTTTCGCCACCAGCCAGAACAGCAGAGGTGAACATCTGGCGGATGGCAAATCTCCACGGCTGTGTCGCAAGTTCTCTTCCCCACCACCCCGAGCCGTGTCCAGAACATCCTCCCCAGTGAGGGTCAGAAAACTGTCCTTGACTTCTCCCTTGAATGCAAGGATAGGAGCCTTGGACCTGACCACCGCCTCGGCGTCCAGCAGTCCCACCACCACCCACAGCCCTGTTGCGTCCCCACCGCCGCACATGGGTAAAGTACCTTTGGATCTTAGCAGAAGCCCCTCTTCTCCAGAACAAAGCCCGGGATGTGTAGAAGAGCATGTAGATAACCCTCGAGTGGATCTGTGTAACAAGCTAAAACGAAGTATTCAAAGAGGTATTATCCAGCTGCCGCACCCCGTGCTTGCTGGCCACCTGCTTCCCCGCCGCTCCTTCTGGAACCCTAGTTCCTTGTTTTTACGACTTTCCTACTTCTGCGTAGAATGTAGTAGAATGTATGCAGTGAGTAGTTAGAAGGAAAAACTCCTATAGTTCCCGCTAGCCTTTGTGGAAAAGAGATCCAGGTTAGTTCTCTTACTGCCTTCTATAGTAAAAGCTGACTGCAGTCTATGGGAGAATAGCATGATCTGGATGGTGTTATTGGAAGGTTTTTCATGAAATATGGTTAAGGCTGGTTGGATAAAGAACCTACTGAGCCTGCTACTCTGCATAGAGGTATATTGGGGCCACCTCCACCATGAGCTCGGCCCTTACAGCCTTCTTTTTCTGCAGTGTCTGCCTTACACACCTGCACTGCTTCCAGCCTCCCCTGCAAAGGATGATCTAGCCTGGAAGTGTTAAGGAGGTTTCTTCAGTTTAGTTACCAAGGCAACACTCCATGTTACAGCAGAGATATAAGAAGAAAAATCAAATCCGAGACAGTGTTTATTATCCTTGGCACCCATAATGGTGCTTAAAAAGGTAGATTAAAAAAAATAAAAAGGTAGATTAGATTGTTTCCTGATTAAATTCTCTAAAGACTTCCTATCACACTTAATTAAAGTACATTCTCCCTGCCAAGGCCTTCAGACCCTCTCAGACTGGGATACTATCTCCCTCTCAACCTCTGCTCCTGCTCTGCTCCCTCGTCAACTAGGCTGTAGTCACATTGATTCCCTTTTTGTGTCTCAGAAGCATCTCCATCATTGCTGCCTCAGGGCCTTTTCACCTGTTCTTCCCTGTGCCTGGACAGGCTTCCCCCATATAAGCTCCATGAGATTAGCAACCTTATCTTATCTTGTGCACTCTGTACACTCATTGCTTTGGCCAGTGCCTGGCAGGTAGTAAATTTTTGTTAAATGAATGACTCAAGCAAAACTCCCAGTGACCTATTTGAGGGTCCTATGGCATATCGCCTTATCTACCTCAGTTTGGTACAATGTAGATAGGGGTTGGAGGAGGTGACCCTTGTTGCTTCCATAATCCAGTATTTCCATAATGTAAACAAACAAACAAACAAACAAAGGTTTCACAGTCAAATTAGCAAACAGCTTTATTTATTTATTTATTTATTTATTTATTTATTTATTTATTTATTTTGCTGTAGAATAACTGCTTTACTTACTGATAACAAAATAAAAATCGGGCAACTAATCAGACAAAGTGTCCAATTTTCAAGAAGGATCTCCCACATGGAAACAAGAGATCCCTGCTTTTCCGTCTGCTTGAATTTTCTCTGAACTTTCTAGCTTCATTCATTAAGTGAAGTATTTAGTGGAATTTTAACTGGAGTGGTTGTCATCATCAAAAGTAGCACCCTTTAAACAAGAAATTCTTTAATTAAGTTGACAAGTGAGCAGCTAAGGAGGAAGAAAGAAGGAAGATAATTAAAAAGTCATTAGAACAACAGTTTTCAGCAGAATCGTGATGGGTTCCTCTCAGGAATAATGAGGCAGAACACAAGCTGACAAGTGCCCTGGGGTTTGACCCGGCACCTGTGCCTGGGCACCTCCTCAAATCGAATGGCTTAGGGCGGCTTTCTCAGCCCTCCCTCCGAGGCAGGGTGCCCTGCGAGCTACAGGAGTCTCCCAGAATGTGGGGAGTTCTTTCCACTCTTTTATTGGATTGCAGTAAACAGAGGAGGAGAAATCTGAAGATACGTCTAGATTCTTGCGCTATTTTGAATTCGAAGAGCTTCAGGAATAAGCGTGTGAGTGTCTGACATTTGTGGCTCTGAGGCTGTGGTCTGAGTGCCTCTGGGGCTGGAGTTAGAACATGGGAGGTGTGTTCAAGAGGCACTGCTTTGCCTTCTCTGTGCCGGTTGTTGTGCCATAGTGTGCATGACGGTAAATAAGACGGTGTCCTGGCCCCTTACACTCCAGTTATGTGAAGATAGACACCACATAACTGGGAGGGAGATAGTACAGGAGTAGACAGAGTGCTCTGGAGGCTGAGAAGCACTGGAGATCATGCCTGGTTGAGTAGAATCAGGACATGTCACTAACATGAATGGACAAGTGGGTTGGAGGTGGGTGAACATATGAGCAAAGGGCCATTGTTAAACCCAACTGGTGAAAGCCATTTTTTAGGGCAGAAGAGACCATTGCTTCTGAAGGGACAGCTTCTACATATATATATATATATATATATATATATATATATATATATATATGTGTGTGTGTGTGTGTGTGTGTGTGTGTGTGTGTGTGTGTGTGTGTGTATGCTAATGGATATATATATGCATGCACTTGGGGGGAGGTGGGGAGGAATCCCCCAGCCTGGCCTTTGCCCTGTCACAGTGCAAGAGCCCTATGATCCATTGCCCCAAAGAGGTAGGCCCTACCCACCCATCCAGGGTTCCTTGATAGATTGCCCCAAAGAGGTAGGCTGGAGACCTGCAGACCCTGGGCCATGCCATGGTGGAGGCCTCCCTCTGTGTGTGTCTGCCTCACCCCTGCTGTGGCCCCACCCCTGCCCCCGACACTGCAAGGCCCCACCTACTCATGGCTGCTGAGCATGCTGCCTGCTGAGCTGTCGTGACATTATAGCATTCTGGACAATTTGCATTTTCCTCTATTATTATTCAGGACTAGAGGCTCGAAGCATGAATTCATGCATGGGTGGGGTCTCTCAGCCTGACCAGCAATTGGGGTTGATCAGGGCCATCTGGCCAGGGGGAGGAACTGTGGGAGATTGGCTGGCTGCAGGAGGTTGGCTGTGGGAGCTCATTGATCACCAGGGGGCAGCTCCTGCATTGACTGTCTGCCCCCTGGTGGTCAGTGTGTGTCATAGTGACCAATCAACTGGTCATTCAGTAGACCCATCATAACGGTCAGTTAGGCTTTTATATATAGAGATTGATTTTAGAGAGGAAGGTAGAGGGAGAGATAGAAACATCAATAATGAGAAAGAATCATGGATCGGCTGCTTCCTACATGCCCCCAACCAGGGATTGAGCCCATAGCCCAGGCATGTGCCCTGACTGGGAATGAAACCATAATCTCCTAGTTCATAGGTCAATGTTCAACCACTGAGCCACACCGCCTGGACCAGAAAGGACAGCTTTTGTCCAATTCTGATGCTATGAGCAGACCTGCAGAGCAGACCCTGTCGCTAGTCTTCTAGGGCTTTCTAGTAGTGAGGAAACTTAAAAAAAAAAAAGGCTCTCCTAAAAAAATCTTTTCCTTTCTGTTCTTTTTTACCATCTAAACCATTTTTAAGTGTATAATTCAGTATCATGAAGTATAGTCACGCTGTTCTGCAACTAATCTCCAGAACTTGTTCCTCTTGCAAAACTGAAACTCTATGCCCATTGAACAGTGCTCCATTTCTCTCTCCCCCCAGCCTCTGGGAACTGCCATCTGCTTTCTGTTTTTAGAGCTTAACTACTTTAGATACTTCATGCAAATGGAATCATACAGTATTTGTCTTTTTGTGGCTGGCTCATTTCATTTAGCATCATGTCTCAAGGTTCATCCATGTTGCGACATGTGTCAGAAGTTCCCTTTATTTGAAGGGTGAATAATATGCCGTTACACACACACACACACACACACACACACACACACACACACACATATATATATATATATATATATATATATATATATATATATATACATTTCATCTTTTCTTTACCTATTCTTCCTCTGACAGGCATTTGGGTTGCTTCCATCTTTTGCCTATAGTGAATAATGCTGCAGTGAATAGGGGAGTGTAAATACACCTTTGAGATCCTGCCTTCAGTTCTTTTAGATATCTACCCAGAAGTGAGATTGCTGGATCACATGGTGATTCAATTTTTAATTTTTTAGGAACGTCCATATATTTCCCATAGTGGCTGCACCATTTTACATTCCTACCAATGGTGCAGAGTTCCAATTTCTCTGCATCCTTGCCAACACTCATTATTTTCTGTTCTTTTGATAGTTTCCACCCTAATGGGTATGTGTTGAGAATATTTTCTCTTTTTTTATAATTTCCCAGAGATTTTCTTTTAATTGGCCTAGGGCCTAATATATTGATATTCATTTTTTCTTTAATAGAGAAGCAAAACAAAAATCTATTTCTTTCTGCATTTTAGTCTAATGTGTGTCATAGTTCTAGGGGTCCTCAATTAAGCTGCCCATTGCCCACTATAATTAATTCTTTTACTTTAACTCAGTGATTTTCAACAGGTGTGCCATAAGAATTTTTAAAATGTGCAAAACCTGACTATTTAGTTTGGGGCACTGACCCTTTCCTCCTTAGTTTATCAAATAAAAAATGACAACAGCCATCACAACTGTTGTGAATGAATCAAATTTATAACTTTTTTTGTCAGATCAGCTAAACATATATTTTTTGGTGTGCCGCAGAATTTTAGTAATTACTTTGTGTGACACGAGATTAAAAAAGTTGAAAATCGCTGCTTTAATTTGTTACACACAGATTTATTTTTTGCATTAGTCACCAAGTTCCCTGATTCTGGTTTTCAAAGCCCAAGTCCAGAGTTTATGGAGATGGCCCAATGCCATATCCTAAAGCCTGTTCAGCTGACTCCAGGATGGAGGGAGGTATGGTCCCTAGTAGGAATCAGTAGTTTTTCCTCTGGAGCAAGTTAGACTCAGGGAAACCAAGATAAATGAAAAATAACTAGACCAAGCTCTCGGGGAAGGACACTAGTAAAGGCTGCCAAGACTTACCAATGCAGATGCTGGATATAGGTGGGATCATTGTGGACTCGGCTAGTGGTGACTAGAGAGCTTGTCACGTGGCAGTGTTGATCATTTATGACCAGAGGCCTTCGATGGGGAGAGCCATGAATAATGGTGTGGTAAAGTTATTCGGTTCTCCCTCACATTACAGGAATAGCTGAAGTTGAGGCCTTATGGCCTCCATTCTTTGATGGATTTCCTCAAAACAAATGATTTGCAGTTAGGTTGTCAAGGGATAATTTATCCATGTGGTTCATGGGTTAGAAATGTCACTATGATGGGCCAGATCCTGGCTAACTGCAGAGCTCCTGTCACTACGGTGATGGGGAAGTTCAGGATTGTGCCTAGGCGAGGCTCAAGGCCAACCTCCACTCCAGAGGTATCAGTGCCCCTGCCCACCCACTCACTCACCCCTTCTCTCTCACTTTTACCATGACTGCCCCCAGCACTTTCATTAAGAACTTTGTTCTTGGCCACGTCTATGCATCTTTATTCCCACACACCCCTGTCCCCCGTTTCTGTAGCTATCTTCTGATGACTTTTAATGTATTTACTTCCCATTCTGTTCTTAAAAATATTTAAGGTGGCCGTTCAAACAGGCATGTGATACAACTGGATTAAAAATAAAATAACAATAAAGATTTTTTTTAAAGTTGCTAGTGTAACACAGCAACTTAATTGATACTTCTATTGGATTTTTATTAATTTAACTTTTTTTTTTTTTCTACTGAGACTTGAGACAATTTATCCTGTGGGTCCTTATCAAGAAAACACTGTGAGTTGGAAGCTTAGAAGTAATGTTGGGGGTCAGGGGGCTCTTTGTCGTTTCTCTGAATACTGAAACAAAGGAATTACAGACTTGGTTTTAATTTTATTTTACATTGGAAAAGGGTTTATTTGCGTCATAAATAGTTCTAGGCAAGTCAGGGATGAAACACTTCACTTCAGCGTCAGCCGGACAAGCGCAGAGTAGGTGTGTGCACGTGTGTGGGTGTGTATGAGTGTGGGTGTGTGCGTGTTCACATGTGCGTGCAAAGGCCGTAGAAGTCAAGAGTGCTGCTGTGCTAACTCCACTGTCTAGTCTTGAAAATTCCAATTGGCAAAGAAAAGGGAGACGCTGATCTGCCTTTAATTTGAAAGATGTTTGCTTGTGCTTTGCATAATGTTAACACTTAAAACAGTTGGCAAACTTGAATAAGAATCCTGTGCCAACAGTGTACACATTTTTCTGCTTTTTACTTCAGGGTACAGCACTACACAGCCTCACTGCATGATGCCAGTTCCCCCCCCAACCCTCCCACCCCTGTTAAGTAAACACTGAAGCAGGGTTCTCTCTCACTGCCATCCAGCTACACAGTTTCCGGGTGTGCACTTTGAAAAAGACTAGTGACCTTTGTCCTGTTTTATGGCCATTGTAGTTCTAAAGCTGGCCTTGCCATAATTCCTAGCAAGAGAACTTCAAGTGACAAGAAGGGAAATAAGAGAAATGGGAAATATCTCTAAAAATGAGTGAAACTGTGAACTGGTGAGGGGGAAACTAATGCCATGTATTTTTTCCACTAACCCAATCATTCCATTTGTTCAGACTAAGTACTAAAGCAGCATTCATTCAGGCTCTCCTTTCTTGCTAGCAGGCAGTCCCACCTCCTCTTTCCCTGCATTCTTCTACAAAGCACACATATCCGCCCAATTCATATCCAGACTCCATCCAAGGGTGGAGTCTCAATAAAGATCAAAGCAATGGCCCCGGCAAGGAAAGAGAGCCCCAGGGCAGAGGCCCACTGAATGGGGTCCCTCGCCCAGTCAGTCAGCATTCCCTTGGGTCTAGCTGTGCAACCTACCCCATCATCACTGAAGGGCCTTCATCACTGGTGTCTGTTTCTGTGTTCTTGGTTTGACAATTGCCTGTCTTGTGGGCTGAACGTGCTCCCCATTTTAGCATTTGTTTGGAACCAGTTCTCCCAGTTGTCCTGCAGACAAAGCTGTTTGGAACTTGATTACTAGTGAACAGGCCAGAAGGAAATGCTTCTTTGCCCCCACCATTGCTGGGCATGGTTTCTTCTCTTTATAGGTGTCAATCTGCTGACACTGTTATTCTTAGCTTTCCTGTTCTTTCTGTGGATATTCGGGGCCTGTCCAGCTCTCTCACGGGGAAGTTTTTTGGGCTCAGTGTAATTGCTGACTAAATGATTTTCTCCTTGCCTCAGAGGAATGAATGGTTGGATTAGAACAAGGACATGTATTTGATATTCTGCTTGTTCTTGCAGAGCAGATGCCTTCCGTTACTGAATTTTGAGGGAGCTATTTAGGAAATAATAAAACTAACAGCTAAGCACTGATTTTTTTTTTTTTTTTTTTTGTCTGCATCCTGCATCATTGCCAGCTTTGCTATAATTATGTCATTCAAGAAAAGATGCTAACCATTTCCCTCCCCTAGCCTTTGTGTGTTTCAAAAAGGCAAAATTGTCGCCATATTTCTAAGGGAGCAAATCACATGCAAGTGTGAAAATGGCTTTGAATAAAGTCATTAGGAGTTTTGTAAAACTTATCGGCGAAATCTTGAATGGAATGGCAAAGGAAGTTGTGGAGAGTATTTCTGCTGACAGGGGTCATGTAAAACCAGTGGAGGTGACACAGCTTTTGTTGGTTAATAAAAGCCCAAGGAAAAATAAACGAAAGAATTGTTAGAAATTTATGAAATGTCTGTGGTGTAATTCCTTGAAAGAACTCACAGGATGTTGTAGTTTTACCTGACTAATAAGCCAGATGGGAGCCTAGGTGTGACCCTAAAGGATGTGTCTTTTTCTCATGGTATGTTAGCTGCAGTGAAGAGGCTCAAATTATCTCAAAACCGTCCAGCTGTTCATTGTCAAACTCTCCTCTTGCCTCCTGCTGATCTGTAGCTCTAGGTCTGGGCTGTCCAATAGTACTTCTGCGAGGATGGAAATGCTCTCTGTGTATGCTGTCCAGGAGTGCAGCCACTGGCCACATGTGGCTGCCGAGCACTTGAAATGTGGCTAGTGCCACAGAGGGCCAGAAATATTAAATTAACTTTAATTTAATTCAGGACTACGTGACCATATTGGGCTAGTGCTACCAGTTTGCACAGTGCAGCTCTAGATCCTTAGGAGTCCTCAGGAGCCACATTGGTTGAGATGCAAACTTAGTTGGCTTACAGGGGCAGCCCTAGCCAAGAACTCGTGAAGCCCCAGCTTTGATCCCAGACTGATTTACACTCTGGAAAAGTTCCTCTTTCCCCACTGGAAGTAGGCGGAACCATTCTGGAGGGCAGGAAAGCGGCTCCCCATCCCCTGTTGCTCTGAACATCTGCAGTTATGTTGGACAGATGGGGCTACCCAGAGTCAATCAGGCTCAGCAGGGTCAGCAAGACATGGGTGGGGAAGTTGTACATTTAGATTTAGTGTCATCAGCATGCGGCCAGGAAGAAGGACTCCATTTCCGATGAAACTCCTCTAAACGTGTAGGCTAGTGTTTATCATACGTAACAAACGTTTGCGTTTCTGTGCATGATACTGATAAGACGCTTCTGAATGTACAGCCTGCTTGTTAAAACTCATGATGTTTTCAAGCAGCAGTCCTTGAGTCTGCCCCCGTGGAGCGAGCGGCCGTGCAGAGCTCCCCTGCGGCGGACGCCACGGAACTGTCACCTGGCAGGTCACCCTCGACGCCTCGGCACCTGCGCTATCGCCAGCCTGGAGGTGAGAGTCAGAAAGGGACTCGGAAATAAGAAGTGAGAGATGATTTCTAGCTTCTGGGTCTTTTGTTTGCCTTACTACCTCAGATGTGAAAATTACTTAGGTGCAAATAGTATCACTATTGGACCCGACAGTGGAAAAATAAGTGGTTAGAGAATATGCCAGTAGTCTCACCAATATTTATGTGACCCATATTGCATTGCACTTGGTGTGGAGGGATGTGAATCAATGGGCCTGTACTTGCTGATGGCCAGTTGAAGAATCTCAGAATCTTATTTTACCAAGAATTTCAGAATCTTATTTTACCAAGATGTTCCCAGATTCTGATACCTTACCATAAGTGTGTATCAAATAGGCTCATCTGGGACACCACAAGTTTTGGGGTAAGCTTATTGAAGAACAGTATTTCATCTAAAAACAAAGCATAGCTGCTTGGGACCCTCATTATTGCTAGTGGCAGAAACCAGTATATTTTCTATAATTATGAAAATTAGAAAGTATTACCCATTCACTCATTTAAGAACATGCCAAACGTCCTCTAATTGGAGGGAAAACCATCAGAAGAGAAGATAAAAATCTTTTTTTCTCTTCATTTTCCCCATTGCTCAAATAAATATAGCCAAATAACAGTTGTTTTTGAAATGTTTCCCTTTTTTTTTATCCGCAGGCCAATTATTTCAAGTTGGAAGGGGGAAATATACAATTTATGAAACCAGATTCTATTCAAGTAACTGAAGTAAAATATAAAGACATGGCTTTGGCTTCAGTACTTGTGCTTCAAGTAGGGGAGTTCAGCAAAAGTTAGAGGAGTGTGCATGACTCCAAACCATCACTTCATTTATAGCCTCAGCCAAGGGCTGGAAGCTGTCATCACTGCCATCAGCCCCAAGCCCAGCCAGCCTGGGGCAGGCTGTTGTCTAATTTCCCCTGATGGATGGCAGACCTTGAAACTGGTTTCAGGCTGCTGGTCAATGATGAGTCTTAGATGGCTCTGGTAAATAAAGGTGACAAACCAGATTTTCCTGGCTTGTCATAACACTATTATATAATTAGCCAAACCTCTTACCATTCTTAGAGCCTTGGTCAATCCAGGCCTTGGCGACTTTTTTGACAGTTGTTCATGGGACAGACCCGCTTGAGTCTGGGGCCAAAGCTCATGGAAGCAAACTCTACCAAGGCAAGAATTAGATGCTATTCACTCAGTTAGGGCTCTCTTTCCATATGTTTATATTCACATAAAATTTTTCATTTATAGAAACTTTGTTTTTTGGAAATCTGCATTCTGTTTTTGGACTATCTTTTGCTTCTTCCTTGATATGGCTAAATCATAGTGACATAGGAACATAGGAAGGAAGCAAAAATCTAAAATAATATGGAGGATCCAAATGGGAACAGTATCACACATTTTCTCAGTGTGTATCTGAAATTTTGCCTGTTCATCTGACCACTTGCTACCTTGTTCCCACCCATGTTTTAGAGCTACTGCTGAGAGGGTACAGCTTTTCTGTGTCCTTGTGTGAATGTACATTAACCAGCTCTCTGCTTCCCCTCTTATTTATTTTAAGCATGACTGTAGAACTTAAGATAAAACTAATAAAAACCCTTCAGGTCACAATCACAGTGACCTATTTTCACTAAAGCCTGAGGGAGGAAAAATAGTGATGTTGGCATCAACATTATTAAATGCTGTGTGTAAAATATCTGAGGAAGGAGAGGGACTGCAAAATTGTGCTGAGTGCATTTAAAAAAAATTATAATGCATTCCTCCCTTTAAAGGTGTTTTGAGAAGAAAATTCTATTGGTAACATGATGTAGAATATTTAAAAAGTGCTTTTCAGATTGAGATATAATTTATATACCATAAAGTTTACACTTTTAAAGTACAACTTAGTGGTTTTTAATATATTCATAACGTTGTGCAGCCATAACCACTATTTTGTTTCAGAACATTTTCACCATCCCCTCTCCCCCAAAAAAGAAACCCTGTACCCATTAGTCACTCCCCATTTTTATTTTCCTCCATTTTCTGTTGACTATTAATCTATCCTCTATGGATTTAGCTATTATATAAATGGAATCATATATAACCCGTGACTTTTTGTGACTTTCACGTAGCATAATGTTTCTAAGTTTTGTTCATGTTGTAATATGTATGTACTTCATTCCTTTCTGTGGCTAAATGATATTCCATTGTATGGATATACCACAGCTGGCTTACCCCTTTATCAGTTGATAGACATTTGGTTGTTTCTACTTTTTGGTCATTACAAATAAAGCTGCTTTGGATAGTCATGTGTAAGTTTTTGTGTGGACATATGTTTTCATTTCTCTTGAGTATACATCTAGAGTGTACTTGCTGATGTAGGATCTTATTATTTTCCTATTAATAAAGAAATACAGTGCATTTGGCCCAATCGTTGGTTCATTACAGGAATGAAATGAGCATTTTATTATAGACTATTATCCTTCTGCCTCACCATGCTATTTCCATTCTTTTTAAATAACCAGGACAGATGACTGACAGCTCCCACTGCTCTGTTTCGCCTGCTTCTGCCTTTGCAATTGCCACAGCTGCAGCAGGACACGGGAGTCCTCCGGGTGAGTAGGGGCCAGCAGCTGAGTACAGACACAAGGCAATCCGCATTAAATCATGATATTTGCCTGCCAGTCTTGTTGTGTACTTGTTAAGAATGCAGATTCCCACATTGTAATAACTGTGTGCCACCAAATGGGTACTAGATTTATCAGGATGACCACTTTGTAAAGTATATAAATGTCTAATCACTATGTTGTACACCTGAAGGTAATAGAATATTTTTTGTCACCTATAATGGAAAAGTAATATTGGCATGGCCAGTGTGATTCAGTGATTGAGCATCGACCTATGAATCAGGAGGTCATGATTTGATTTCTGGTTAGGGCACATGCACGGGTTGTGAGCTTGATCCTCAATATGGGGCAGGCAGGAGGAAGCGGATCAATGAATCTCTCATCGTTGATGTTTCTATCTCTCTCCCTCTTCCTTCCTCTCTAAAATCAATTTTTAAAAAATAGGAAAGAAAAATAATATTTAAGAAGAGAATTCAGATCCCCAGCTGCCATTCTAAGTCAGTGTGTCTGGGGTGAGACTGTTAAATAAACACCCGAGGTGAGTCTCACACAGGTAGTCTATGGGTGACACTTTTGAGAATTTCTATATCAGAGAAGGATGAGTTGTTTCTCCATGTTTTATGGAGTTCTATAATTTTTTTATCCATTTACTGAAAATATGTACTAGTATTTCACTTTTAGTTGAGTGCAATGCTAAAGGCATCTGTAAGGTGGGAGGGAAGTCTGTAGAGCGGGGAGGAGGAGGGAACTATTGCTTCAACTGACTCATAATTTATTTCCAGTAGCTCCTCAATGCTTTCTGAGTTGCTGTTAGTTAATTTTCAGGGTAAAGCAGGAATAATTAAAAGCACAGTATTTTAATAGATGAAAAGCATATTCATTGTCTCTGTCCTTGTCTCTCACATGCAAGGAGAACATTGTGTTCAAATAATTCTGTGTGTGGTTTCAACAGCCTTGTTGCTGTGAATGGCTGCACCTAAACTAACCCAATGGGAGCTGATTGTCATCCTTTGTAGATCAGTGATTGATGGAGAACCGTTGTTCACCTGCCACAAAGGAGGCCATTTCTAAGCCTAAGAACCTATATTCAACAATAGTAACTTGTAGCTACTATGTATGAATTTTTTCTACAATGAAGTAAGAACAAAGAAAGATGCTCTATAATGAACATGAACTACCATAGTAATGATATGTATTCCATCTGAATGGAACTATTTGCAGATTGACCACATTTTACTTCGTCAGTATTTTTGCCACACCCACTGCATTGGATGTGGTCAGGTAAATGAGAGTTGTTAGGTGATTTCTGTCCTAAATATTTTCAAAAACTTCCCCTCAAAGTCCTATCAGCATAACACAAGACAGCCCACAATGGTAATGATGTTGATATTTTGTCAATCTAGCTGACTTCCATTGTTGAATATATCCTATAATAATGAACATTTCTTGATGACATCATAAAGGCATCCTCACTGTGCTTTCAGTAGAGTTAGGCATCGACTGTGATTTGCTAAGACCTTCTCCTGGCTTTGTTCTCACAACCTGGTCTGTCTTTGGAAAAAGTGAAGCGGAGAACTTCCTCACAAGTTTCATAATTTAAATATGGTTTGTGAGGGAAATCATTTTTAAAAATATATTTTTACTAGAGGCCCAATGCACAAAAATTATGCAAGAGTGGGCCTTCCTTCCCCTAGGCTGCCAGCACCAGCTTCCCTCGCAGAGGGAGGCCCCGCCCACCTGCCTCAGCCCGCCAGATGGTGGCCTGGGCCACCCTCTGTGGGGCCATCATGGGACGATGGCCAGGACCGTCTCTCCCCCCACTCCACCTGTCTTGGCTGGCCTGGCACCAGTGAGTGTCATAGCGTGGTCCCACATGGTCCTCCTGATGGTCATCCTGCTGTTTGCCTGTTTGGTTGATTTGCATATTATACTGTTATTATATAGGATTGATTTCACAGAGGAAGGGAGAAAGAGATGGAAACATCATTGATGATAGAGAATCATTGATTGGCTGTCTCTTGCACACCTCACACTGGGGATGAAGCCTGAAACCCAGGAATTGACCAGGAATTGAACTGTCATTTCCTGGCTCAACCACTGAGCTACATTGGCCAGACAGTGAGGGAAATAGTTTTAATTTAATTCGGGATGAGTCTATTTCCCCATTTGCTGGAGGAGAAGCTTTTTTTTTTTTCTTTTCTTTTCTTTTTTCACCTAAAATTGCAGCAAAATTTGAATAAGTTTCCAAGAATGGCTTTCTGACTTTGGCTTTTCCTGGCCTAGTGGATCAGAGGATAAAGTAACCAAAAAATCCAAGTCTTCCTCTCTATCTGAACTGCTGCTTCTGCTGCCTTTCTTCCTACTCCTTCCCGCAGCTGAAGCAATTTTAAAAGAAAGAAAGTGCTCTTCAGTAATCTGGCCTAGGAGCATTAGACTGCTGACTGAACTAGCCAGTTATGTTTCTATAATGTGGTCTGAAGCCATATGGTTCAATTTTAGGAATAAAAGGAAGGACTGGATTTGACAGGGTCTGTGGCCTCGCTATAAAGACAGCAAATTGCACATCGGTCAGTTTTCAGTGGCAGGTGATGGTAAGACAGAGGGGCTTTCTTTTGGAATGCAGACCACCGTGTTCCGGGGCTTAGCCACTCAGTGGCACTGGTCCTGCAGGGGCGTCCACCTGCCCCGGGAGAGCTTAGCAGAAGAGCTCGGGTTCATTGGTTGCTGAGAAAAGTTGGCTCAGAGCAAAAGTAGGAACGTGCTGAGATAATGTGGACTTATTTGGCTACCAGGGACAGCATGATGCTACCCTGGGAAGAGCTAGACACAGATGGACAGGTGTTCAGAGGAAGGGGTGCTTGATAATGGGTAACTCCCAGACTGGACTTTGTCTCCACTTTCTGAACCAGAGTCCTTGCTGACCTGAGTAGTCTCTAGAACCAAAGGCAAGTAGGAGGGAAGGTTGTGTAAGGAAGTGAACACCTCAGACTTCAGTCAGTCTTTGCAGGCCTCCTGTCTGCGTGTATGGCTGCAATAGGGCCATATTGCAGCTCTGCTGTGTCCGGCCCATACCATAGCAGGAAGCAAGGTACTACTGGCCACGCCATGGAGTCTGCAATGAAGAATGGCTTTCCATGTTTCAGCCTCCTCTTTAGTTTCCCTACCAACTTAATCCTCTCCCATCTCCATCTCCCCACTGCTACCCCCATCAAATGCCACAGGAACCTGGCAACTCTGGGTTAGAACTATCAACTCATGATTATGCTTTCAAATATTCACTCCAGACATTTGGATGTTAAGCCATTTCTCTTTAATTACTGGTTAGGAGTTTTTCTTTTTTACTACATTAAAAGGGCTTTCAAATTTAGCAAGAGCGTGGACAGAAAATGTTCTTTGCAAAAAGGCCAGACAGGATGCTCGTGGCAGGCCCTGAAGGCACAGAAAGCTGATGCTATTTGTGGAAGGTGACCTTGGATTTTCATAGGATCAGCAAGCCCTGCCCCAGGGCTGTGCCTAATTTCCACACGTCCTGGATAAGCCTGGGTTTTCATCCCTGATTTCTAGAGCCTAGAACCTGCCCTTTCCAACGAGGACGGCTCTCTTCCTTCCACCTTTGTTTGTAAATCAACAGTAATATCTCTGTTGGCAGGAAAGGAAAGCCTAATTCTGTGGGTCGGATTGCAGCCCCAAACCAATGATTATTAATGTCATGTTGTAAAGACTTAACAGTTTATTTAGTGTCTGCCTTCTGATTGATAGCCAAGTTACATTAGGCTCACTTATGGATGGATCCAAAATTTGTGGGGTCTAGCTCTTATATATTTTGCCTCAAGGGAAAGAATATAAAATTGCAAATACAAACATTTAGGGTATCTCCTAGGGCTTAGAAGAGGCCCCCACACATTGTGAGGCCCTGAAGCTTGAGCCTCATGGCTTCCTGGTGAATCTGCTTATGAGTCCAGATCTTTCTTGGAATCACCGCAGCTGCAGGAAATTTTGTTTGTTTGGGAGTGGAGATGGGGTGGACCAATGACCACCCGTCAGTAAAATAAGAGTTCTTTATTGTGGTGGGAGCTTTGACTTTACGCAAGATTGAGATCAAGGACAATTGGCGGGTCTTGTGTGCCACCACACTGATTGCAATGTGTTTTCAAGAATCTGCTTTCAAATAGAAGCTAAATGAGTTCTGCATTAAAGTAGGAGCTGAAATGCATGCATTTCAGATGGCTGATAATGCTGGGACTCTGCAAGTGCTGTTTGGATATAGTTACAATATGAATAGAAATGCAATCTAATGAATACACATATCAGGGCACATCATGGCTCTCACTATACACCTAAAGCTTTAGTATTAATTATAGAGTTTATGATATGATCTAAAATGAAATATCAAAGTGTGAGGTGGGTTATTTTTATTGCAGTACAAATAATGGCAGTGGAGGTATGACAAGCAGCTCTTGATTATCTGTGAGCAGATTATATGTTTCACCATTCTATGAAAGTCAAAGTAGATTAACAAAATAGAGAAATGGTTGAATGCATTTAAAGAAAAATTAATGGCATAGTTTACAGTTGCTTAGAGAAATAGTGAGCTCTCTGTTGGTGGTTTACTTGGCACTTGTAAAGTAGAGAATTCATAATCTGTTTTTTTGTGTGTGTTTTTTTTTCGTCTATCAAACCACTCAGATCTGTGTAGTCAATAGTAGATCTCAGCTTGATGTGAATTAACCCTGGATCTGTTTTAAAAAATACTGATGCTTGGCCCCACTCCCAGAGATTCTGACTTGATTGGTCTGGATAGATGTGAGGCATCAGGATTTTTTAAAGTTCTCCAGGTTATAGTAATATGGAGCCAAGGCGGGGAACCACTGGACAAGATAGATGCTTGTGTCAGATGGTCATTGCCTGTTCTCCTTGGGAACTTGTCCCATAATAAGCTAGATCATGCGGCGTATCTCTTTTGCTTATCAGATGTCTTTGTTATGGCT